ATTAATTTTTGGGGGTAATAGGTTCTAAAAATGAAAACATAATAAACAAATTGCAACATACTTTTATTGAAAAAAAAAACTTTTTTTTAGGACATTACAACAGTTCAAACTATTTTTTCCAAAACATTACACCTTTTTCTTAATAAAATAGGAAAAATTAACCAGAGCAGATAACAGCCAGAACATTTAGATTTAAACTGTTAAAGACATGCATAGTTAAATAAAAAAAAAACTACAAGTATATTTTATGTCGAACTTTTTTTCTGGTCATATGCAAACTTTCCGGAATTTCGCTTTTTCAGCCGAAAGAATTTCTAATAAATGGTAGTTATCAGTCCAAATATAAGTTAAAATAGGCCAATTATGGGCTTAGCTCACTCTTTAAGGCCCTAGGTTCTTATTCAAGTGGTTGTAAAATAATTTTTTTACTTTTCTGTACATCTGTGATTCCAACCCGATGTAGCCACGCGATGAGACTGGTTCCCAATTACTCCATGCTGGGTAATTGGGACCTACTTCAAAATTCTGTTTTTACACATAATACATGATAATCACCATTGCAGCCACATATAATTATTGGTTAATTATATGTGGGATTAATTATAATGTTAATATTAATTATATGTGGGATAAAAAAATATGGGTCCCATTTCCCCACACCGGGGTAATTGGGACCCATTTTTTAAAAAATGTATAAAATTAATTTTTAATTTTATAAAAAATTTTAAAGCCCCAACAAACTATTGCTTAAACCTTTAATGTGTCAAAAAATACATTTTGGTATGATTATTAATTCCTATAATATATAAAAAATAACTCAAAATACTACCACGCTAAAGTTTTTCCACATGTTTAACATTCGGAAAAAAACACAGCTTAATTTTTTTTATTTTTTATACATCAAACACAAGATTACAATTATCCAATAATTTATGATGAAACCCCTTTAGTATACCTAAACTTTAACGTATTTACAATTTTGTTTAAAAAATAAATAATAAAAAATTTTAAAATTTTAAAAAATAGCTCCCAATTACCCCCGGGTCCCAATTCCCCCACTCTACCCTATATCTTGAGTATTTTATAAATTATATCTTGAGTATTTTATAAATTATATCTTGTGTGAAGTTAGACCTGAATGTTTTGCTTCAAGTATTCGTGTAGGTTGTACGACAAATAAGTTATGTATGGTAACAAAAACCGTTAGGCCTAAATTTATATGGAAGTAATTTTTTTAGGGAATAAGGTAGGCTAACTTACATGTATTTCCGTATATCATTCTTTTCCTAATGAAATTGTGCACAATTTGTACATTTAGAAAAATTATTTTGAGTTCATTGAGTTGTGTTATAATATATATATAGGCCCTATATATATATAACCTATATATATGCACATATAAATAATTAAAAAATCTGATTGGTAACTTAAATATAACAAAATGTATTTATTTATTGCTCTTGACAATTATTACATTGTGTAGCATAATTATTCTTATATTTACATTGAAATAGGTTAATATGTGAAGTGATATACTCGGTATATTTAAATATACCGCTTGAGAGTAAACTTAGGGAATTCAAGTAAAATGTTTTAATGTTATTTGTGTCAAATTTAAAGAAAAAAATGACTTGCGTTAGATTTTTTGTTTTTCATACGTTAGTACCTATGTTTCATTAGTAGGTCTACTTATTTGTGGTTTTTCTAAGATACCTCTAGGCAAGGCCACACTAAAAAAACAGGCCGTAATGCTCATCAAGCATGACGTCACGATAGAAGACGGCTATGACGTATAAGTATTTATTTATTTATTTTCCACTGAAAGATTAAAACAAGCAGCTGATCACAAACGGCAAAATTACGTCATTGCCGTCTTCTATCTTGACGTCATGCTTGACGAGCATTACGGCCCTTTTTTTTAGTGTGGCCTTGCTCTAGGACATCGCAAAGACAATGAAAAATAATAGGGATATTAGAGACACAAATTACTGTGTTGACCCCTATCAACTATAAATATCACGTAATTTGAAGTCATGAAGTGACACAGGTTCCTCCTGGTGTCAGTAATTTTTTGTAATTCAGCATAAATAATGGGGTTTTATAACTATTTTATGATAAAATACCCCCGCCGCAGCAAACCTGCTGACTTAAGTGAATTTCCATTTGTCTGAATTGATTTTCAAAATCTATTTAAATAACATTAGGTATAACGAGTACCTAGGTTTGCTGCTAGAAGGAAACTAATAATGTTTTTTTTTCTTTAGTAAAATATTAATGCAATAGTCTAGCAAGTTAAAATAAATAAATTTGCCAAGTTTGATCAAAATATAGGTACCTCCATAAACAAGCAAACTACAACATTTTACAATATTCTCCATAAGTAAAAATTTAACATTGGAATGTTAAATTTACTGTAAATTTTTTTGAATTTTCTCTGTTATAGGCCTACCAATAACTGTTGTACAAAAACACATTGATGTACTAAATTATTTGTTTTTTAAGCTCTTTAATAAGATCTAGAGAGAAATTGGAAAATTTTGTGTTTTGAGGTATTTTTTGTCAAATCATTTTTTATCAAAAATGAGGAAACCCAATTTTTACCCCATAAAACCCCCTGTAAAGCACACAACATTCCCATGTTCGCGATCTTATTCAAGTTTATCCCGCCTGACAGAAAGTGTTTTATGGGCCTCTGGGGACATCAAAATGGAAAATTAAATTGGTCCCAGTCCTAGGTCTTACTGTGCCACCTACGGTAATAGCTACTTCCCTACAGGGAAATTCGCTAAAAGTACTTTAAAAGATGAACATTACAAAATAAAAGTATGAAAAAAATGTCCGTTCCCCTATTTTTATGAGTAATTATGAGTAGGTAAATAAATTAGGTAAGTTAAAACATCAGAAATAGCCATTTATTTCTAAATTTTATAGGTAGGTAGCAAAAAAGAAAATATGAACTTTAGTACTTATTATTGTTAACACTTAGTTTTTAGGATATCCATGAGTCTTAAATTGATAAAGGAATAGTCGCAAAACAATCACTAGGCCTATTACAATGACTTTACTGACATTACAGATAACCTTCAAAACATTACTGCAAACACATTAAACCATTAAGTTATCAATTATCAATTATTTAAGATGGGGACGCTACTATGTGCGTATTTTAACCCAAATATGAGTGAAGGATGAGTGTAGGATGAGTGGCGCGATCTTGTAGTCTTGTTAGTGACTAAGGCCGACATGTTCCTTAGACACAGCTGTTAATTAGTAGCCCATACAGCTAATGGCAACTAAGGGACCTACAGTTTATAGTGGAATCCGAACCACATCTTTCCTTGTAATTTACGAATTGGTCTAATTATCAGGATAGTACTGCGGATAGTCGTAGTACTCACTAGTGCGGACGTTAATCCACACCAGGGAGCATCGCATCCACAGTGCATCCCTATAAATATCCACAATTCGTGACCTCCTAGTAGCTGGATTACAGGACGACGCCACCCGTCCCAGTCATCCTTAAGTTAGTCATCCTTGATTATTTTGTATCATGTAGTCTTGAAACAGAAATGCCTAAAGACCAATTTTTTAACAAAGAAAATAACTTGTAGTAATAAAATACAGCAACACAGCAACCAAAACATTGTCTTTTCCTCAAAACATCTGAAAATGGCCATGAGACACTGAAAAATATAAACATTGATAACAGTCATGATCTGCAACTCACAAAACAAAGGTTTACAACGAGCCTGGTACTCAGTCCTACAGAATCCTTACACTTGTGTGCATCCCCAGGTGTTTTTAAAAAGTCAATGTTTTGGTTGCCGTGTTGCATGTTGTTGATGATTTGTGATTTACAAGCCTACAACAACTAAACAACAAAGGCCCAAATTTTAAATTAAGCTTAAGTCTACTGGAATCCTACTGAAGCAATTTTTAAAATTTTAAATGTTTTAATTATAGTCGTGTTTTAACAAAAGTCTATTTTTACTTAACAAAAGTCTTATTTTCTTGAAAGACAATATAAATCTTAATCTAAGTAAATAGCCTAATTTTGAAAATTTCTGATTTAAGTAATCAGACCCAGACTATGATCGCCAATATTTTACTCGTGGTATTTTGCACTGTTGGCTTATACAGTACGACCCCGCTAATCTGTCACCTTCAGGACCTGGACTATGGATCAATGAAAAGGTTGGATTATCCGAAGAGCAGCATGTTTCGGATTTTTCCACATGAACGGAATACATGATAATTTTCACCATTACCGTAGAAGATATCCAGGATTTTGTCATGATTACAAAAGACAATGATAATGTTCCCGTGACTGCGTGAGACTTAATATATTGGGAGACGATGCTGTTTCCGTTACCGTACTGTAGGAGATACTCAGAAGTTTGCTGCGATTACAGGAGACAACGATGATGTCATTGAAAGTTTGGGAGATGTTAAATATCTTGCCAGGACCGTCAAAGACAAAGTTGTTTCCATGACCACAGGATTTGCCTAGTATTTTATGTGATTACAGTAGATGAGGATAAAAATCCGTTACCCCAGGAGATAACCTAGATTTTGCCACGATCGTTTGGGATGATCGCAAAAGACAATGATGATGTTTCCGTAACTGAGGGGGGGTTAACAAGATTTTGTGGGAGATGTTGATGATGTCCACACAACCAGAAGAAATGGTCATAGTATTACCAGGATAACATTGAAACCCATAGGCAATGCCATGGTCGGAAGCAAAAAGTCGGACTAGCCGAGGTCGGATTACGGGGGTTCTACTGTATGTGAATGTGTGTTTCAAATAAGCAGCAACATTGTTATCATAATCTTGAATTTACATAAGTAATGTTGCATATTTTTTTTCAGTAAGATGCGAGGTAGGCCTACTGTAATAGAAATGGCACATTGTTTTCATGATTTTAAGTCCTATTTTTGAATTTCCTATTTTTAAATCATATTCTTGAACTTATGGGTGTTTACAATGTTTGTTCCAGAAGTAAGATGAGTGGCAGCAGAGGAGAGGCGGCTGGAGTTGGTGGAACACAACACTCCACCTCCGCCATAACTCCACCGTCCGGGTCTTCCTCTGTAAGTACAATCAGCTGTTTGTAGGAAGTAACTAGGCCTATTTTGTTAAAATTGCTGATTGAACTTACTGTGATGATTGTGAGACTGAAGTTAATTTGTTTAGCGTTACCACAGAAAACATACTACTATAACCCAGAATGCTAACCGCATGGTAAAAAGCATTAAGTGTTTTGAGAGAGCTTTGCCTGTCAATTCATAGGCAGCGCCACCAGCGTTGCTATGCTGAGTGCATGGCAACGCTGGTGGCGCTGCCTACGGATTGACAGGCAAAGCTCTCTCAAAACACTTAATGGTTTTTACCATGTGGTTGGCATTCTGGGTTATAGTATTATGTTTTCTGTGGCGTTACCTAGCCTAAGTCAGTTTTAGTTAGTATTGCAAAACTTTCAACCCAATTCCGCTGACAATGTTTTTTAAATGTTATTCTTATACGGTTTTTATATATTTTTTGCGATATGTGTGTACAAGTGCTGTTTATTTAATTTTAATCATGATTTTATGTAAAATAGGCCTTAAAATTGTTAGTACTAAACTTGCACTACTTTTTGTACGGGTACGGTACTTTAAAATCCTGAATAAAACACTCTTAGGCATTTGAAAATAATTGTAGGCAATCCAGTTTAAGGGAACATTCATTATTATCCATGATTTTTTCTGATAGGTATATCGATATATTTTTTCCTTTAGGCCTACCATCCATATTCCTTCAGTTTTAATATCTTCAAACACATTTAAATTGCAAATCGACAACTGATCTTGTTTAAGCAAAAATAATACAGTACATGGATTAAGAAATAACACTATAGGTTACCTACTAAACTAACCAAACTTGCTGCATAAAAAAGAAGGCATGTGGGAATTATCCAATGGAGTTTTGAAATGTTACAGCACGTTTGGTTGGTTAGATTAGATTAGTTAAGAATAGTTTCATTTCAATATAATTTGTTTGTGGATACTGAGCAATATTTATTTATTGTAATTGTCAGCTAGTATGTTTCAATTAGTTAATATTGGATCGAAAAATAAAATATTGATCTATCGAAGAAAAAATCATTGATAATAATGAATGTTCCCTTTAACAAGAAAGTAACAAAAAATTGAGGATAAGTTTGAATTATCATCTTGCTCTAATTATAAGTTTAAGCCTATTTTTTTTGGGTTTTACATTTTATAGGTAAGCCATATAACCAGGTAGCAAAAAAAAAAAAAATAAATAAATAAAATAAAATAAAACTGGGACCGATCTTAGCCAGTCACTATTATTTGGCTTAGCGCCTTAAACTCTTATTTAAGGTGATTATTTCATTTAATCTCACCTGTGTGCACTTGTGCTAATCAATTATCAATCATTGAGACGGAGCCCGAATAGCGACATTAATCACTTTCAGCCGACGGTGGCATGGTAGCTCAGTTGGCTGATGAGTGTAGCGTTGAGGTCTTTTTAGAGAGGGTTCAAATTCTGTTCATGTGCAATACCGGTACATTTATAATGTGTGGCTTAGCTGGTGTAGAGGGCCCACCTTAAATAAATAATATCCGGCTTGGGTGGAAGTCAGGGCATTAAGCAAGTATAGACTTTAATAGGGATTGCACACAACACCTGTTTTGAATCGTTTTACATCTAGTTTAGAGGATTAGGACACCGATTTCCATTTCTCCCCCCTCCCTTTATTTTGGATAAATATGGACATGTATTCACATATTAAAAAAGACTAGGGCTCATAGTGTTAAATGATCCTGGCCATAGAAACAGTCCAGTAGAAAGCTACCATTTCCATTCAACACTCCGTTGTATAAATATAAGCTAATCTAATATATTCTAATTTTGTTTTCAGACAGCTTCCACTTCTTCTATGATGACTCGAATATCCCAGTCCTCGGAACATCCCAACACCGTCCGCACCAGCAATGGCATGCTGACTGACAACAGGAGCAGCATCGCTGATCTGCTCAGCAGCTCGAACCTGGCGTCCCCGCTGAGGACATTGGAGAGCGGACTGCGTAAACGCAAGCTCTCCGACATGGGGGAGGATATAACCTCAAGGCGGAAGAGGATTGCCGAACACAAAGCTGTGCGGTTAAAGCGTCTGAAGAAGGACTATGTGGAACATGTGTCAGAAATGCTGACTCTGGAAGGAGGTGGTTTGGCAGATGTTTACCGCAAACGACCCTCAACCTCGGCGCTTATCAGTTACTTGAAGAACAACCGTTTGAATCCTACAGACGAGGGTGAAGATTTGAGTTCGTATGTGACGCCAGTGGTGCAACAACCCGAGGTTAAGACGCCTGGCGCTCTACCGGGTATCCCTTCGTCAATAGCTGCAGCTTTTGCTGCCAAACCTGTTGTTCCAGGTATTTTCACTATCAAATTACTAATGCCTTTTGTAGTTTCTTTCACAGAAATTACCTCAAATGTTTTTTTTATGTAGGTAGTCTGGCACATAAATTGGTAGCGATAATAGAAATAGCCTTCATCTTAAAGTTAATGATAGTGTTTGTTTACCAATAGATTAGGAATTACACATCAGGCCATATAGTCAATTAGATTTATTTAGATGAAATAGACTAGAGTTAAGTTTCAGGCCGTAATAGTTAATTAGATTAAATAGACCAGAGTTAAGTTTTGTATGTTTTGGTAGTGTGGGCAATAATAAGTTGTCATAAGATAATTTACAGTAGTGTTTTTACCTGTTTAGATAAATCTAAAAAAATTAATATTTAGCCTATGTAAAAAAATATAAATATGTACCGTTTTTTCTCCTTTCTTAAGCCGATTAATTTCTAATGGTTGATAAACTCTCAGTCTACTTATGTGATTGGATGGGTAGCTGAGTGTGTGTGTTTTTTTTTTTTTTACTATTTATCAAAAGGTTATACATTTTTAATTATAAGTTGAGATCGGGACACCACCTATTTATGTGTATTTTAACCCAATCACGAGTGTAGAATGGAGTGTGATGCCTTGTGTGGCTTTGTTATTAAAACCAGCTGTTTAATCAATCAGGATCATTTATTAAAGGCCCAATGATCAAGGACAGCTAGCTAAGTACTGTTCCGAACAATCAAAAAGCTAAATTTGATCCCAATAAAGGGAATAGATCTTTTACAGTTCAAAATTGGACCCAGGTGTCATTGATCATTGAGCCTTTGATAAATTAATGATCCTGACTAATTAAACAGCTGATCTTAGTCAGTAACAAAGCTACACAGATCATCTCACTCGATTCTACACTCAGTTTTTAATACACACTAAAATGTGCGTCACAGTGTTAAAGAATTGATACCGTAGCCTACTACTTTTTTGCATGTTTCTAACCGAGGAATTCTTATTTTATCCAGCTTCTCCCCTGCCAGAGCCCGAGACGCAGTCTACGTCCGCACTGGAGAAGAGGCTGTTGTCGCCATTGAAGAGCAGCCCTGCAACACCTAGTAGTAGCACTCCCAGCAACAATAAGGCGGCGACACCTCAGCGAACGCCACAGTCCCCCTACGACACCTCCATATGTAGTCAGGAGCAGATCGTGGAGCGAGCCAAACAGGTAATGTTGAATGGTTTCATTGTTGTAGTGTTATTTTTTAATTTAAAGGTGTAACGCGGAGCACACGAGCCTGTGTTCTGGCACTAGCAGCCGGTCCTTATTACTGTCATTTGAATTCACACAATAGGGGACTAGGGGGTCCAATAATGTTGCAAGAAATTTTCTTATACAAATAGAACGTAATAGAAAGTAATATTGTGGTTTATCTATTGTTCCCTTTTTACTTCTCAAAATTTCATGCAATTCAGTCAACCTTTTTGTATTTTTTTATTCCCATCTAATATGGAAACGTAAATAAAATATGAAAACGTTGACTGTGAAATTTGATAAGAAAGTTACAGAAATTTTAAGACAAAGTTTTAGTTATGTAATATTGAGGAAAATTACTTTTTGCTATTGGGCTCCCTGGTCCTTAAAAACTCAGTTGAGCAGTAGTGATATAGGACCAGCTGCCACACTGGTGAACAATACCTGGCTATGAAACAGAATGCTAGGACACGGGCTCAACTCTTGGTTCATCATAGGGAACTGTAATTACAATTTTGTCTCTGGCTAGCTTAAAATAAAATTCGTACAGCAAGGTCTGGAGTGACACTAGTGACAGTGAATTATTTTGTTACTATTTTGCTTACAGGAGGCACAGGTGATGGCAAGGATCGGAGAGCTCCAGAAGGAAGGGCTGTGGACAGAGAAGAGGCTGCCCAAGGTACAAGAGCCTCCGAGGACCAAGGCACATTGGGACTACTTGTTAGAGGAGATGGTGTGGCTAGCAGCGGACTTTGCCCAGGAACGCAAGTGGAAGAAAGCTGCTGCTAAGAAAGTAAGGACACTCAGTACCTCGTTTGTTTTTTTAGAAATTGTTCTTAACGATTAGGACATGGTGTGGTACGTGTATGGGTGGGATGATGATATGATATCTAGGTTGCCACTAGATTATAAAGGGAAATTTTGAGAAATGTTTAGTGAGTAGGATGAGTAACACAATAGCTTATCTTATACGGACCACAAATAAGTTAAGTACATGGGAAACACGCTTAGGGGACAACTGTGTGCTTTCAGCTCTAGTATGTTGTGCCAGAAATATACTTGTGACGGAGCAAGGAACAGCCCAAACAGTGAGCACATTGCGGAACCTCTTATCGCCCAGGGTCTTCCTCCAATGTAAGCGTTAGGATGAGGACAAAGGCGGGGTGGGACTTTGCCCCAGACACCACCAAGTGTTTCCTCTGTACCTTACCTCTCTGTGCAAGCCTAGGAGGATTAAACATTAAGGAGAGGGCACGCGAATAGGAATACACGTGTTGCGGTGAAGCCAGCTTTAGCAGAACACTAGAGGGGCACGCGGAGCCGTAGAGTGGCAAAAAGCCTCGGCTATAACATGGGAGAGATAGGGAAAAACGCGACGCGCGCTGTTTCGAATTAAAATTCCCGCTAAACTAAAACACCTGTGTTATTCACCGATGGCATTCTTAAAGTAAATTAAATTTCCTATCGAACGGTGTCAATCATTCCTATAAAAACTATTATTTATTATTGAAGATCAAAGTTGAAAGAATTGACCTGGACTTTGAACATATGATTACTTTAATTACGTTTTTGAAAAAAAATATGATGTATCTACACAAATTAACAATTTATTCGTGATCCTTAAGAGTTTCTCAAAATAAAAAATATATATTTACCTATATTTAAAAGTGGTATTTAGAAAAATAATTACAATAAAGTTTTTTTTTAATTTTTCCAGTTTATAAAACAATCTTACTAATAATAGGTTAAAATCAAAATTTTAATTCAGGTGGTGAAATACATTTTAAGTTTGCATTTTTCATAGTTTTCTCGATTTGTTATTATCATTTTTTACTAGTTTTAAGTCATTTATGTGCTAGGCAGGTGATTTTAAATAGCCAAAGTTAAGAAAAAATGCAAAGCCGCTCTAACTTTTTTTACACCAACAGCCGTTAACTTACAATTAAATTACAAACATAAAAAAAAAGTAAAACAATTTCTTGGCAATCAAATTCTTGATTTTTTTAATATCATATTGAACTATATTTGATCTGTTTGCCCAAAGAAACTTCGAGTAAAAAGTGTAAATGTTCAACAATCGTCTTCTGATCGCCAAAGTGTGTTTATCATTCTTTTAAAGGATTAAAACTTATTTTATTTCTCTTTAAGAAAATGTTCAAATACACATACAGTACTACTCATGATTTGAGTTTTAATTTATGAACAGTAAAATCCATTGGTGATATGGCGGGATTTGAACCCGGGACCCCATGAACCGGAGTCCCGCGCTCTGGTTAGAGTATTATAAATAATACACAATACAAGTATGTCAAAAAATAAAAACAAGGACAACAGATTCCAAAAAACAAGGACAACAGATTCCAAAAAACAAGGACAACAGATTCCAAAAAATAAAAACAAGGACAACAGATTCCAAAAAATAAGTAATCCTTTTGTAAATTACTCACCTTTGAATGTACTATTGGTTCATAAATATGACTTTCCTCTTAATAGGTTCCTAATATTACGGTTAGAATTTAACTTTTTATTTTTCGTAGCATGACGAAGTCTAATTTTTAAATAGTTAATTGATATTTCTGTTACCAAATCTTCCGGTAACGCATACAACGCAGTATGAGAGGGGGGCGGGAGAGTAGTGCTGCCTCCCCCCCTCCTCAGTCCCCAGTACGCTGGCTTCAACGAAACTACAGCGTGTCCTCTCCTTGATGTTTAATCCTCCTAGGTGCAAGCACCCCATGCACCAAGTGGGGGAGTTTGACGTTTGTTAAATCACACTTTTTGTTAACTTGAAAAACAAAAACAAAAAAAAGTGAAAATTTCTCTTCACTCTAATTTAAGCTCTGGTTTGATGAAAGAGCCCTTTTCATATTTGCTGGTTATAGTAGTGTGCATTCTTATCAAGTTTAACAAAGTGAAATTTCATTTCAGTGTGCTAAAATGGTTCAGAAGTACTTCCAAGACAAGGAGTTGATGGCTCAAAAAGCTGTCAAATCGCAAGAACTTCAGTTGAAGAGGGTTGCCAATCTAATGGCTAAAGAAATAAAACATTTCTGGGCAAACGCTGAAAAGGTAAATTTGGCTTTATTTTCTTTGTAGTAATGGCTGTGAAAAAGTGTATTTGCAAGTTAAATAACATTCATGTAATAAGTGTATATTTTTGTTACAGAAGAAGTTTTAGTTTTTTTGCCAAGAATTTAGATACTTTTATATATACACTAGCTGACCCGGCGAACTTCGTATCGCCTAAGTTATAGGTTTCCCCTAAGACAGACCGATGGAAAGAAAGTACCGTTACGTTTAATTTTCAAGATGATCTCGTTCGCATCGCTCAATCACGTCCTGGTTGAAGTTCGTTCGCCTCACCTTTAGGTTGGAGCTCGTTCGCTGCGCTCACTTGCCTTCAGGTTAGCTCGTTTGCTACGCTAACTCGCCTCCAGGTTGAAGTTCGTTCGCTACGCTCACTCACCTTTTGGTTGCAAATTAGCTGTTGTCATAAATGTAAAAGAAATAATAGTGCTGCACCCTGTTGGTAATCCTTGTAACTTTAATGCTATTGAACATCATAGAACAGAACCAACTTGTTTAATTGAAACAGCTGTTAAGATTCATTAATTCCATTTCTCATAAGGTTAACATGGGAAACTCCAGAGCCACTGGGGCGGAGCCCTTTTAAGAATTTCGAAACGGGAAATAGTTTACGTCCGATTCGCATACCTACAGAATTTACACACCAAATTTCATAACGATTGGTGAAGTCGTTCCGGAGGAGTTTGCAGACAAACACTGTGACACGAGAATTTTATATATTAGATTTGTGTGCAAAGTAAAGTTGATTAAATTTTATTATATTTGCAGCTGGTTGAATACAAACATCAGACAATGTTGGAGGAGAAGCGTAAGAAGGCGATGGACCAGCATCTCAGCTTCATCGTAGACCAGACGGAGAAGTACTCGTCCCTGGTAGCCGAAGGACTTAACAAGACAGGAGCCGAGAGCGTTTCTCAGTCATTGGTGTCTTCCCGCGCACCTTCCCCCACCCCTGCAGCCGCTTCTGTTCAGCCTCATGCTTCTGATGGTGCGTTCCAAGTTTTTAAATATTTGTTTACAGTTGTCAAGTTGCACATCTTGTTTACTGGAATTAGTTCGCCAATCAGCTGATTTATCAATATTTTACTTGTCCACTGTTTTTTCTCACTCATAATGACAACTGACTCGTATAACATTATTTAAGCTCAGTTTATTTAATTTAAATTATTATAATCAACCGTAATTAGTTCCTCTGTAGCCTAGATTAAATTAATTTGTATGTAAAATTTGGTTGAAAACAAATAGTAATCATGTAAGAAAATTATAAGAGCATATCTAAAAAGAGTATTTTTCATTTTCCTAGTTTTGAAGTTGGCAATGACATTGTTTATATTTTTATTTCAACATTGCAGCTCGGTCACAAAACACCCTAACCTCAATGGTGTAACGAAGTTTGTTTGTGCCTCTTATAATTTTTTAGTTGTTACCAAAAACTGTGGACTAAATACAATGTGCAATTCGCGAGCAAAGTGCCACCTTTTTAACCTCCTGTGTCAATTATCGAATTAAAAACTCGAGACTTAAGCCATCTCCAGAAATTATGTTTTGTTTACGTTTACAGTTGTTTAGGTGACAACAAAAAAAATCTTCAGTTTGCCTATTGTTGTAATAACAAAATGTAAAAAAAAATGTAGGTTATGTTTCACAATTGAGCTGCATTTATTGTGGATACAAAATAACCAATGTAGTAATAAAACAACATTCATCAAATCTAACTTTGTAATTCATGAATATTACTTAATAGCTGAGGCATCATTGCATCAATTAACACATTTTAATTTTCAGGTGAATTTGAGCCTGGCGGAACTTCTAGTGATGACGAGGAGACGATCGCTAAAGCAGAAGCAGAAGATGAAAAGGAAGGTGGAATAGACAATGCTAAAGAAATTGAACTGCTTACGCAAGAATCTGAGTTACCACTAGAAGATTTGTTAAGAGATTATTTAGATAATAGAGAAAATATTATACTCGAAGAAGAAAATGAGGATGAAGAAGAAGGAAGTTCAGTAGTAAGTTTGGTGTTGAAAAAAATATGTTCTAGGTGATAATTAAAATGCTGAATGTTAACAATTGCCTCTCTGTAAATCTCTGATTGATGATTCTATTAAATCAGAATAGCCCATAAATAGTTAGGACACATTTCAATTACTACATTTTTCAAGCTGTCAGTGTTCTTTTACAAATATTATGGAAAATTCAAGCGCTTTAAAGGTTGTTTACAGTTTAAACAAAACCCATTCTTCAATTTAATAGGTAAATCCTAGTCTTTAGTTTTGTCTCCAACTTTAACCTTTCCTCGTTGATAACCCCAATTACATTGCGAACACACTTTACATCAAGGTCTCCTTTTAAACATTGTGACTAAACAAATGATTTATTCATAGGATAAGGATGAAGAATTCCGAGCCTCAGACAAGGATTCAAGTGACGACGAAGAGACAATCCAAGAACAAGAAAAGGCCGAGGGGAAAGTAGACCATAAACAGGAGCTGGACGACTTAAAAGTGAGATGAACTGATAATATATTGTTTATCTCAAGAATCGTCTAAGGCCCCTATTAGACGAGGTAGCCCGGCGACGTCGCCAGCGACAGTAGCTGGCGACGCACTGGCCACCAAACCTAGTAGCCAGTTGAGTAGCTAGAATTTTACCGCCGTTACTCATTTTGTTGTGTGTGCTTGTCTTGTACTTGTTATGAGCGGTATGTTTACAGTGAATAATGAGTGATTATAAGCATCTTCTCCTTTTGTTACTTCTGAAGAAAAGGAGGCAAAGAAAGAGAAAAATATACGGTCATCCCCAATGCTTAGTGCAAGAGAATCAAAAGGGTTATATTACACCTTTTTTATGAGCTCTGTGCGGACAATACAAAATTTTTCAATTATTTTCGTATGTCACAATCCAGTTTCTTCGAGTTGTTAGGTCTCATAAAGGATGATATAGACATTTTATCAACTGAAGTGAACAATTCACCCACTCACAACACAACAGAACGCAACACAACAGTGTGCAAGTATCCCCGTGATATGAACTGACCGAGTGGTGACGTGATACTGGCGACCTAGTGTAATAAGCTCCATATGCTACAACGCAGCATCGCCAATATGGGTAGCCAGTGGCTACCGCAGTGGCGACGGGGCTCGGTAGCCAGTCGGTCGCCAAAGTGTGGCTGCGTCGCTGGCTACCCTCGTGTAATAACATCCATAAGAATCAATGACCCCTGACAAGCTGAGTAGCCAGTTTGGTCGCTGGCGACGTCGCCAGGCTACCTCGTCTAATAGGGGCCTAAGAGAAATAATAGTAGTGGACTATAAATCTTGCTATCCTAAAGTATATTCTGTACACCACAGGAAACTAATCTCTCATGATTCCTTACTGATTACTGCAATTCTTCTGATGCCGTTAATCTAGACATTGGACTTCTATTTCCATGTTTCTTATTTAAATTTTGTACAGTTCTGTTTTCACTTGTTATTGTAACATTCTTTCTCTTCTTGGGATTGCTATTTGTTATTAGTATATTGTGCATTTTCGATTAAATTACAAAGTTTGTTGTCATATTTACATAATATAAATAGTGCCAGTCCGATGTTAGTGTTTTCATAATAAGCTATTTTCAGACGGAAGGAGAGATGAGCATCGAAGAACTGAGGGCTAAATACGGAGGTGCCCAGACAAACGGAACCCCAATGGAAACAGAGTCTCAGGAGTCTGACAGTGAAGAAGAGGTGGAAGAAGATGAAGAAGAACAAAACAGTGAAAGCACAAGTGAGGACGAGCCGATGGAAGTAGAGGAAGAAGCAACGACAGAAGATCTGTCTGCGCTTTTGACTCAGGAAGTGCCAACATCTTCACAAGGCGACAATTCTTCGCAGCAGGTAAATTTATTACTATTATTGTTATAAGTAAATCTGTATCAAAGTTGTCGATAGAATGTGGACAATTTAAGGATTCAGTAATGGATAGGTTTAACGGCAGGTAACAACAATGTTATTAGACACCTTTTGCAACCTAATATTATTTTCTTGTGACTTATTATCCATGTAATTTGATAATAATGGATACACTTTCCAAAATCTACCTGCTGTGACGCATAGCGGCACGCTATATTCCTTATAGTGTCAGACCTTCGTGTGGCAGGGCTGCATGGCGAACTCGTCAGCCCACCGCGAGCAAGCGAACGGCTTACCCCCACCTACCTTTCCCAACCTTCTTCCCTTCTTCCCGGTCTGCAACGAGAACTGTCTAAGAAGAAACTGCTCGTCTAGAATTCCTACTAATGGCTAAGTTTACAATAATTAGATAAGTTAGCGGTTGAGCAATATGTCAGGCTAGTTAACAAACACGGGGGAGACCTACAAGGGTCGTCCCGACATAGGATAAAATGTAGGAATTAACAATTACGGTTCGAGGCCTTCAGCCTCGGACCATCTGCAACAGGATTAGGGCAACACGTTTTCCCCAGAAGTTTCCATAGTTCTTTTCAATAAATTGTTAGGTATTTCCTATTTAAGTAGTTCAATCACCAGCCAATCTTTCATTAACAGTCGTTTTCTAGGTCACAAGTCTTGGAAGGATAGTTTTTAGTAAATTAGTTGTATTAGCATAAATCAAAGCTGGCTATGCAAGCTTCCGGTCTGGGTAAAAGATCTCCGTCCTCTGGTCCCCAACACGTCTTCCATTAATTAATTTGGTAGCAGAATCAGCACGCTTAATTTAGTTTTACACCCCCAATCAATCAGTAGTAATCAGTTGACCTAAAACGGCTACACTGCCATGAACATAATATAATAATTTTAAGTCTGATTTGAATTTGTTTCAGGTGGATAAGAAAGAGTCGGAAATACACGATGTCGCAGCCATAGCTGAGAGTATTCAACCGAAAGGGAACACTCTGTCTTCAACCAGCGTAAGTCATTAACTACTTGTATCTCTCCGAGAATGATGTCTCAATCTTGTTATATTCTTAGGATATTTAATTTTGTCTAAATTATTGAAACCCAGAAACCATAAAGTAACAGCTGTGTCAATCAAGCTCAAGGATAAAATCTAAGATAAGAAAATGTAGGGATCATCATGGTACATTATATAGAAAAAAAACTCTTATAACATTTTGATTCAATCGAAGATGATTTTTTGTTTGTAAAATGTTAACACCTTTCTCTGTATCTATTGAACGTTAACAAAAATTATATTGAAACAAATCTCTGTTAAGGATGTTATTTAATTAAAGGTGCCATTATAACTTCGAACACGGGATGAGCTCTATTAGAGGTTGGGTCCTGTATTACAATATAACAATACGATAGCTATCTTTTGAGGTCCAGTTGACATTATACAGGTCTTGTATAGTATTAGCTCATGGTTTTCTTTCATTTCTTTTTCACTTACAAAGTTTTCTAAACCGTAATGAATACGAAGGAGATATTGAAGGATATTATTTCCAGGTTGTTACCAAAGTTCCGTTCCTGCTGAAGCACCCGCTGAGAGAATACCAACACATTGGGCTGGACTGGCTGGTTACAATGCACGATCGTAAACTCAACGGCATCTTGGCTGACGAGATGGGTCTGGGAAAGACCATTCAGACCATTGCCGTGTTAGCTCACCTAGCCTGTGAGAAGGGTATGTGTCTTCTTTCAAAAGTCTCTTGATATTTCATTTAGGTCCAGGATGTCCCTAAATCCCATACAATTTTATAATCTTTCTAAAAATGTCATAATTTGTTAAATTCATTCAGATTTTACCAAGGAAGTTGTAAATTTTCTGAATCACAAGATATTTTTTATGCTGATCTGTGGGAAAGTTTTTTTTATCGATTTGTTTCAATTTTTGAAGGCATGTGTATTTAACGTAGAACTAAGCCTTGGAATCTAAATGAGCATAAACTATGAAACAAATTACTCAAACTCAACTAACATCTCCAAAATGTTCTATGTAGGTATATGTTAAATTATTATATTCAGTAAACAAATTCTTTTGCAATTATAACATTTTACTAAATTTGTTTCAGGAACCTGGGGTCCGCATCTAATAGTAGTCCCTACATCTGTGATGCTGAACTGGGAAATGGAGATCAAAAAATGGTGTCCCGCCTTCAAAATATTAACATACTACGGCTCACAAAAAGAGAGAAAACTAAAGCGGACAGGTAAGATAGTTAAAAAAGTTACAAAGCTGTATTGTGACTTGTGAGTTGACGAGATGAAAATGTTTTATTTGTGACAAGTGTTCAGTTTTAAAATGTCTCTAGTGTATTCTTTTGTTTATTCTATTTGAAGTAAACTGACGATAAATTGTAGGTTAATCATTCATTAACTCATGAAGAAATCAACACACGGCGGAAACAATTTCAAACTTTTACCAACGAAGCACTATTTTGTTTTCTGTTTAGACTTTTCCTGCTCGGGGACCTGCATGTAACATTTTTAAACAAAAAGTAAGTGTTGACAAATTCTTTCCAACATGAAAAGTTCCAAACATTGTCCAATTAGCTAATTCTATTTTAACAGAGTTGTGGTTTGTTTTTGTTTCACATTGTGATCCGTTTGTAGGTTGGTCCAAGCCGAATGCCTTTCACATCTGCATCACATCATACAAGCTGGTCATCCAGGATTACCAGAGTTTTAGAAGGAAAAGCTGGAAATATCTCATTCTTGACGAGGCTCAGAACATCAAGAACTTCAAATCCCAGAGGTGGCAGCTACTGTTGAATTTCCAAACACAGAGGTAATGTTTGTTTTTGTAATGATTATTCGTAAATACAATGTAGTTCTTAAATAAATGCATTTTAACGAATAAAAATACCCCCGCCGCAGCAAACCTGCAGACTAAGCGAATTTCCATTTCCCTGAATGGATTTACACTAAAATGTCTCCTTAAAAATATCACATTTATTCCCTATTTAAATAGAATCAGTTTAAAACATATGGTACTTAGGTTTGCTGCAACAGGGAGGGTAAAAGTGTAAAATGTTAATAGTTAGTAAGAAATAAAAACATTTTCCAAATTTGGGCAAAATATGTTTACAAACAAGCAAGCTACAACAGTTTACTTATTCTCCATAAGAATAACATGGGAATTTTAAATTTACAATTTTTTGGAATTTTCTCCGTAACCATTAGGCGCATTATAACGCTTCAATATACTAAATTAATTTTGTTTTAAGCTCTACAAAATAGTTTAGAAAGAAATTGCAAAATTTTATGTTTTTTGGGTCAAAAATGGGAATTCCCATTTTTACCCCATAAAAGCCCCCATAATCCCCCGTTCCTATGGTCCGATCATGCTGGTTCGCAAACTCGTTCGAATAAACGTAGGTTTACACATTTGTACCAAATTTCATCAAAATCGGATCATTTTTGCTCGAGTTATCGCGCTAACGGACACATATATATATATATATATGAATTTGAACGGATGGTGTTTTTGGCCTCTAGGGACCTCAAAACGAAAAAAAAAAATCGGTCCCGGGTCCAGGTCTTACCGTGAGTACTACGGTAATAGCTTATTCCCTATATGGGAAATTCGCTAAAAGATAATGACTGCTCATCATTCCCTGGCCTAGCTCAAAACGAATAATATGCTGGCATTTTAATTGTAATTATTGTAACACTATTCATTCACACTAAACACAATCCTAGCATAACAAACTGGGGATGGGTAGTTTACAAAAGTGTTAGGCAGTTGTTTTTTGCCAAAATTGTCCAAACTGAGAAGCGATGAAAAATGTCAAATCAGTTATTTGTTTTTACCAGATTTTGCTGGTGAAAAAAATTGAACTGAAAAACTTTCCAAACATTTCAACAACTTTTAATCCAATCTTAGGTCTGTGATTTTGCCAAGTTATCAAGATTTGATTGCAGTAGAACAATTACAATCCGGTGTAGTTGGGACATCATGCTACGTTGAATAACAACCGCCACTAGTAGGTTGGCAGACAGGTCACTCAATGTCTGTTATGTTTCTCAGGAGGCTGCTACTCACTGGTACTCCACTTCAGAACAACCTGATGGAGTTGTGGTCGCTGATGCACTTCCTGATGCCTTCGGTGTTCCAGTCGCACAGGGAGTTCAAGGAGTGGTTCTCCAACCCTGTCACTGGCATGATAGAAGGCAACTCGGAGTATAATGAACAGATCATCAAGAGACTGCATAAGGTCAGTATCGTAAAAGTACCGTACCTACTTCGATTGAGTTAATTTTCACTTTTAAATCCTACATCCACGCGAATGGTTAATTGAAATTGCTGTCATGTAACTCTTCTTTATTTTAGTTTCAGCTAAAGTTATTGAGAAATGAGATTTTTTCTTCGAGGTGACTTTCTTACTTCATGTTGTGTTGTTTATTCCAAATCACGTTGACAAATATTGTAAAAAGGTTAAAATACCCGGTATTGTTGTATGATTCCCCTGCCCTGCGTAGTCCATCCCAGGAGCAGATGAATCACTAGGCAGTGCCCTTTTTTAAAAGACTTTCCTAACTTTGATTTTATTAAAACTTAAAACCTCTTCAGTCAGATTAGCTACTTACACTAATGAAGACTTTTTGAATATTTACAGGTGCTGAGGCCTTTTTTACTGCGGAGATTGAAGTGTGAGGTAGAGAAACAACTGCCAAAGAAATATGAACATGTAGTCATGTGCAGACTGTCCAACAGACAGAGATACCTCTACGACGATTTCATGTCCAGAGCCAAGTAAGTTCTGTCAAATACTGGCAAGTATAAAACCATTAAATAAATCTATGACCAGTTTTTAAAAAATAAACTGTTAATTTATTTTTTTACTTGATCTTTTTTTGATCTGTGTTAAATGATTACTAGTGTCTGTACAAAAATTTAGTTTTGTTTCATTGCTAAGTTTAACAGATAAAGATGTTTGTGACAGTTTAATTGTATGGTTTTTGACAGTGTTTATTTTCTTACTAAATACAAGTTACACAAAACAAAGCTTATCTGTAAGATAATAGTATCAGGAAGTTGATTGCATACAAAAAGTTCACAACACAATTAGTGTAAACGTTTAATATCAACTTTTGTGTGCAGTGAATTTGCTATGCACTATCAACTGCTTGATATTCTTTAAAAGGGTAGTTGTGAATCCTAAGGGGTAGTTCTTCCTTAACAGATTTAGAAATAGCCAAGCGATCTCTCCTCCAAAAACCAATTTTAATAATTAGACCTAAAGAATATTGAACTGGAAAGAAAGCTGTTCACAAACTTCAACACCCGCTACCAAGGTGCCAATCGGAATGTTTGTTTGACAGGACCAGGGAGACGCTAGCCACCGGTAATCTACTCAGTGTCATCAACGTGCTGATGCAGCTAAGGAAGGTCTGCAATCATCCCAACCTGTTTGAGGTCAGACCCACGGTGTCACCGTTCCAGATGGAGGCCATGGAGTTGTTCACTGCGTCGTGCGTGTGGAGTGCCTTAGACTACGACCCTTTCAAGGTAATTAACTCATCCAAGAATAATCAGTACAGGTCGTGAGGTTTGTGGTGAAACTGGCGCTGGGCGTAGGAGGGGATGTGGATGGTTGGGGAGGGCAGTCCCAACCCCGGAGTCGGTGTCTTCCGTTTTACTAGCCATCCAACAAACGTTGGTCCTTTACTGCAGTAGTAGAACTTATGAAGTAATATGTCCAATGCTACTTAGACACCGCCGTTATGGTGCTATCAAGAATTTGTTTGTAGATTCCATTTTGCCCTGAGGGTCTCAATGGAGTGTTGATAGGTATAACCAATGACTACCTAAGTAAAACATTCTATATATAAGTTATTGGTACCTATAAAAAAGTGCTGTTCTTTATAAGTTCTTATAAAGATTACAGTAGGCCTACGGTATTCGAAAACAATTTGTACAGTTTTTAAAGTTCTATTATTTTTTTGCTACTGTCCCGAAGTGGTATTAAACAGACTGTAAACATTTATTTTAATGAAATCTGATATTTTTTATATAGGGCGTACCTGGTAATACACAACGGCACTAGGCTACAATGTTTTTAGAAAAGCAGAAACATCGTCACCGCACAGGGAGACAGACCCCAACTGACAGGGTTGTTACCCTTGGCCATTGTTCTGCGCATGCGCAAACTTTCTCTTTGGCACCGCCCCCCCCCCCCCCCCCCAGACCAGTTTCATCACAAACCTCTCGACCTGTACAGTAGAACTTTGATAGTTGACAGACTTACTTTGACATACTAAATGACCGTAGGAGTGACCAATAGTGTCTTTGTTGGGTTTGCTGGTAAGTGGACAGAAATAACTCGATCCTTCTAGATCAATTCTAGAGGATATGAAAATTACACTTGCTATCAAGGGTGACTTGTCTTGTTAACGATGATTCTTGTTATCAAGGTTCCATGAAACGTTATTGTGATGTCTGTAAATGTTGCAGCATGTGAACCTGCAGTACCTGAACCTGGACAAGATCAGTCTAGAGTTGTGGATGTCGGCGTGGATGGCTCACCGTAGCAGCAAGTTCCGCACTCCTGTAAGGCTGATAGAGGAGATTGACACTGCTCCTCCCCCACCACCCAAGTGTCCTCCGGGCAGAATCAAGGTCCACGTACGCTTCTCTTCACAGGCCAACTCTCAGGCTCAGGTGAGAGTGTGGGTTTAGCTCTTATTGGCTAGTGAAAACACTACTTGGATTGAAAAAAGTTAGGTTAATTTTAGTTGGAGTAATACTAATGGAACAATTTCAAAATGGAATGGATTTAATTATGACTAAAACTTTAATTTGTAAACCAATAAATAATATAGTTTTTAAGATCAATGGACTTTACTTCACAGAATGGAATCAATTACCAAAAACTTATTACATGAACACTTTTCCAGATGGCAGTGAGACCCAACGCCAACACTGTTTTAGGAGCACCGGCAGTTAGGCCTGGGGTCACTCCTACGTTAGTACCGAGAGTGGGGCCTTCGACTTTAGTTAGGACTGCCCTCACTAATCAGGTCATGGCTCAAGGTATGTTGACGGATCTAAATGATTTACTTTCTTGGTTAGGTCTACATCATAAACAAGTATTTTAAGCTATCAACTCCATTGCAATACGGTTTCTTTCAATTGTTGTTTCTGTTTCCAGGTCTAACGCTAAGAGTTCCGAGACAACCAGGCCAACTTCAAGGCTATTCCGTGCAGTTAGTCCAACAGAGACCCGGCTCTCCTGTCAAAGGTGTGAAATTGTTGAAAACTGTCCTTTAGTGTGGTTTATCAACGTATTACAAAATTGATCCAATGCACCCGTAACAAGTTATGTCAAGGGTTGTTATCAGAATAGTAGGAGTGTGCGAGTTTGAGATTTTCCAATCAAGAAGAGGTTTTTGTTTTGTACAACAAATTTTACGTAATTATATCGGGTTGAGTCTTAATATACTTGTCATATTTAATTAATGCTGTGAATTATTTACCAAAGCAGTATTTAAATTTGTATTCATAAATTTGGTGCAGTTGGCATTAATCACAATTATAATTGAAGTATTGTCTCCCATGGTTGTGTAATATCATCAATGTCTCTCACAGTCACAGAATAATACTGGGCATCTTCCAGTTGTGTAGACATCACCGTCTCCTACGTTTGTAGTAAGAATTTTGATGATAATGTTTCCCGTAGCTGCGGAGACATCATTGCTTTCCACTATCACAAAAATGTTATTGTCGTCCGCTTAAATGTTAAGCTATTTAGATACTTTGGTTTACCAAGTTGTTCGTGTTACAGTGGCGCTAGGTGCGCAGTCCCAGAGACTGACAGTGGCCACTGGTTTTGCACAGCTGGTACAGACTAGTGCAGGCAGACATCACTTGCTGTTCACTTCCTCGCCTCACCTCACCACCCCCGGCACTTCTACTGCTGGTGAGAATAGCCTACAAAACTGTATTATTTTGTTTGAAAAAATGTATTCAAAGTTCAGTTCTGTTTTAGTGATTAACATTTTTGCGTTGCCATCGGAAGTGCAAACGGCTGGACGCAAGACGTTGCAAAATAGTGCTTAAGATTCCTAATCATTATTGCAAAGTAATGGTATATTTCCCATTGCAGTGATGACATCAGCAGGAGGACAGAGGCTATTGTTGGGTTCTGTTCCTGGAGGTTTGACCAGACTTGCCACACCTTCATCTACCGGGACGTCACCACCTCGACCTGTCATCAGAGTTCCTACAGCCGCAACAGTCTCCAGCCCTCTGGTAACTATGCTAATAGAACTAAGTACACTCACAACATTTAGGCGGTTTAAGGGTAATGTTTCCTAGGTTCCCCCACCACTTTTGATGTTTAATATTTACAGGGTGTCCACATACTGGAAGTCAGGGATAGTCATGGAAAAAAATTATGGTCATTGAAAGTCATGGAAATAGGCAAAAAGTCATGGAAAGTCATGGAAATAGGCAAAAAGTCATGGAAATCCCCAATGATGGATGGATTTCAGGGGACCTTTCAATGCTCTAGTCGGCCGTAACCGCGACTATTTTAGCATTTTTCAGAATTTTTCACAAATGTACGACAATTTCAATTTATACAGTTGTCTTAGTTTATGGGTTTTGAGTTTGTATTAGTTCATTGTTGTACCTATTGTACTCCATTGTTATCTGTTATTACATATTTCAATATTTTCTGTGAAATAACTTGTCTAGGCAGTACAGTATTATTTGTGTGTGTACGGTATATTATAATTTTTGAGTTAAGTTTGTGAGTCATGGAAATCGATGGTTAATGGTCATGGATAGTCATGGAAAGTCAGGGAAATTGATGACAAAATTTCTGTGGACACCCTGATTTACATCTGCAGTTGGCTGTTGTTTTAAAGTTAGAGTGAGGTGGAGGGGATGGAATCGCTTCCCCTCAAACCGCCCGAGTTTTCTGAATGGAGTAGACACTCGGGAAATGCGGGACACTACAGTAGTTTTAAGCCCAGATTGGGTCAAATCTCTTATTGCTGTTCAGCGCAAGTTTTGGTGATAGTCATTATTAAATTCATAATTTCATCATACAATATTTAAAAAACTCCTAGGGGCTATTAACTGGAATTTTAGGTCTATATAAATCCAATGGGTCCGTAACTTTTCATACTATCAAACTTTCCATAAATTTCAGGTTATAAATCAATCTAATCGTGTCTGTTGCACTCACTAGTGGTTGTTTAGAGACCAGACTTGTAGTAATAAAATGTGGTGCATTTTCGGAGGAACTGTTCAATACAGCCATTGAGTCTTGTTATCAAGGATGACTTGAACTCAAAATGACTACTTAAAGAGGTTCTGAGCTTACATTGTGATTTAGACTTGTTATTGAGGTTGCTGTGATTGAAACAGTCATGTTATAGTGGTTGATATACATGGTATGGTGGTTTTGTGGGAATTGTAAACGAGATTCTGCTGGACTTGTATGAACGCTGTGTAATAAATTTTACAATATATTAATACTTAAAAATCAACATATTTTATTGTTTGCTCCAGGCGATCAACCACACAGTCACAACGGCAGCCAGTAGTGTTCTAGTCACTTCCAGTGTGAGTGTTCCCTCATCTTCTTCTCTGGTCACCTCCCCGTCCATGGCTGCCCCCTCCACGTCCCCCTCAACATCCGTCTCCATGACAACCAGAGCGGCCACCACGCAGGCGAGACGGAGACACGACGAAGAAACTGCCCACAACGTCTTTGTTATTGTAAGTCCCAAAATTATAATTGTTCAGTTTTACAGTGATAGGATATCTCTGTACAGTAACAGTGATAGATTTATCATTATTCCCTACATCATTTTTAGATTAGATTATTACAACGCTCACATTCCAGAGTGTGTATTTTAAGGCAAATATTAGTGAACGATAAGTGATGAATAAATGATATGACAGCTTTTTTAATGACTAAGCTCAGCCAGTTCTATAGCGAGGACAGATTATTAAAATCTCCCTTGGTTCAATTTCATTGCTTGGTATTTACTTCAAACTTTAGGTCATGTTTAGCTTTACTTTAAAATCCCTACTATCAAAATTAATTATCTACAATTTAGTTGTACAAAAGTTATACAATAGTTACCGTATCTTATAGTTGTAACATTTACAGCCGAGGTTAGAAGAGAAACGCAGAAAATGGAGGGAGGAGAAACTGAAACGAACAGCAGAAGTAAATGAACAGCGATGTTCAGCGTACCCACTGTACGGCTGGGACTTGGTCAAGGTATTTGTCTTAACAGTATTCAAATTTTCTACGGGTGTAAAATATATATGTATGGTCTTCACCTAGCTATCATTGCTATTACCCATGGTACTTAAATGATAACCAAACTAAAATTTCTAAACTTTTTGCATGGCTAAAAATCAGGTATGGGAAAATGGTTTTGCTACGATTTAAGGGTTTTCATCAATCTCTATTCCAATGTGATTTACTTACTATTGTAAAATGTTGGACTTGAGATAAGTTTTGAATTTAAGTTAAAATGCAAAATATACCCTTAGCAATATGGCAGTGCCCCTATGTATTTTACCTATTTTCAGTGGTACTCCCTATGACATTTTAAGGTTGGGCTGGGTCAATAGTTGTTCCATTAGATATATTCGGGTGGGAAATATTTTCAGGTGGAGCTCGAGTCGGGTGATTACTAGAGGCAATTTTTGAGATGAGCAATGTTATCGCAATTGCTGAGAGCATCTATGTGTAGTCTGACATTAATTATCAAGCGAAACTCGAAGTAATATTGTGATCATCCTGTGGTCGTGGAGACTGTTTTTATGACCTCTGGTGTTGTGTTAGGCGCTGAGACTGATAGACTTGGTGGATGTGTCGCCCTGCACCTCGGCCCATAGTGACGACCCTGAGCTCTACTGGCAACAGACCGAGGCTCTGTCACAAGCCATCCTATCTGTGGAGGAGAGACTGATGCAACTCAATGATCTCATTACTAGGTAAGAATTTTGTTAACTAGTCAGATATTAAAGCTTGAAAACATCCTTAAGTGCTTAAGGACGTTTCCTGCAGATTTGATAAAAACACTCTTTGCATTAAAAATCTTTAAAATTGCTGATTTGAAACCGCACGTTTATTGGCTGTCGTCTGTCAGAAGGCTGATGTCTGCATGTCAACGGAATTATTGTCCCTATTTTACTTGTTAAATTAGTTAAGAGACATGGGGCCTGTCAGCACATAAATGCGTCAATCTGTCTGTGACGACACATTGAAATCTCTCGGTGAATAACTCATTGCTGCCATCTGTGGCTGGTTGTTCCCTTCTTCTTTCAGTTTCAATAGTTTGCTCTTTTTCGGTTCGTGTATTTTTATGTAGGTAGTCGTTTTGTATGTCAGCACATCTTAAAACTGATCTTCTTTGAGCCTAGAAGAACCAACCTCAATATTTTGTCCAAATCCAAAACCTGATCCATCATCTAATAACAAATTCTCTGAATACATTTCCCTCCGTAGGTTCCATTGACAGGGTGTCTAGTAGTCGGGAAAGTCGGGAATTAGTATTGAATTTCAAAACGGTCTTGAAAAGTCGGGATTTAGTCTTAAATTTGATTTCAAAGTCGGGAATTTTCATGATTTTGCCGCGATCGTCATCTTGCGTTTACGTAACCGCGAAAGCCAATGATGATGATGTCTACACAGGAGACGACGATGACGTTTCCGTGACCGCGGGAGACGACGATGATGTCTACACGGCCGCTGGAAATGTTAATGATTTTGCCGTGATTGCGGACGTCGACGATAACGTTTCCGTGACTGTGGGAGATGACGATGATATCTGCTCGGCTGCGGGAAATGTTCATGATTTTGTCGCGTTCGCGGGAGATGACGATGACGTTTCCGTGACCGCGGGAGACGACGATGATATCTGCTCGGCCGCGGGAAATGTTCATGATTTTGTCGCGATCGCGGACGACGACGATGACGTTTCCGTGACCGCGGGAGACGAAGGTGATGTCTAAACATCCGCGGGAAATGTTCATGATTTTGCCGCGATCGCGGACGACGACGTTGACGTTTCCGTTACCGCGGGAGATGACGATGACGTTTCCGTGACCGCGGGAAACGACGATGATATCTGCTCGGCCGCAGGAAATATTCATGATTTTGTCGCGATCGCGGACGACGACGATGACGTTTCTGAAACCGCGGGAGACGACAATGATGTCATTGATGTCTACAAGGCAGTGGGAAATGTTAATGATTTTGCCGTGATCGCGGACGACGACGATCACGTTTCTGTAACTGCTGCAGTCAATGATGATGTCTAAACGTACGGTACACGGAAGATTTCATGATAAAAAAAACCAAATTTGCTAGTTAGAATTTTTTATTGCTGCATTATTTCTTTACTTGAATGAAAACACCACATTATCATAATACTACTTTATGACAAAGACAGGGGTTGGTGTAGTATTATTTAGAAAATTTGGTTAAGCTATAAAAATTGGTATCGGTATCAAGAATCGAGAATCGATACATTTTGGTATCAACACCCACTAATTGTTGAAAAAACTGGTCTTGAAAAATCTGGAATTAGTCTTGAAAAGTCTTGAATTTTATAATGGAAATAAACTAGACACCCTGCATTGACTTTTTGCTCGGTTTTTAGTTTGGTAGCCAATTTTCTGAGCCATTTACCTCAGTCATAGTTTAATAAGCAGGAACTTACACATCGTGTTTGTCTGCAGGTTTGTGGTGTTTGTGCCGGCTGTGAAGGCCCCGAGGCCAAGGTTCCACGTTTCACATCCACCGCCATGGAAACTGTGGCAGGAACAGAGGCGGACGGCCATGTTGGAGGCGGACCTCTCCCCCAGGGCGGCATGTCTGCATCCCATAGTGGCTTCTATGATGACCCTGGTAAGATGATATGTCAAAACCTAAGACACCTAGATGACAATGGGTACTTTTAATAACATTTAGGTACCAAAATTTATTGGTAAAAGCACTAGTATTGAGTGTATCTTGGTTATTTTAAAATTCTTGAGAGTTATGCTACCAAAGTTTTTATAATTTACAAGTGTTTCTGAAATTTTTTTAAGTACGGTAGACTTAAACTTCAAAAAAATTAAAAGGAGTATCATAGAGCTCACGCCTAGGTTTAAGGATTTTTTGAGGATATTTTTCCTGAATCTACCTTAAACTACATGTTTGATCTCCCTACAGTTCCCAGACCCCAGCCTGATACAGTATGACTGCGGGAAGCTGCAGTCTCTGGACCGACTGCTGCGGAGACTGAAGACCGAAGGTCACCGGGTGCTCATATTTACGCAGATGACCAGGATGTTAGATGTTTTAGAAGCCTTCCTTAACTTCCACGGACACATCTACCTGCGACTCGACGGCACCACCAAAGTTGATCAGAGACAGGTGATTTCTCATTTTATCCGTCTTTTTTGTTAATATTCACGTAACTTGAGTAGAATACAGCGGTTGCGGTAACTTTTTGTGGGTTTTGACAGGTACTTTAAGGTTTCTAAAGTGGAACATTGAAGTACTGTTTTAAATGATATTAATTGCACAGTGACAAAGTATCACTGAACAGAGTGTTTATCATGCATCATGTTAACTTTTGATGATTTTATTGTTCAGTACGATTGTTGATTGGAGGTGAGCATTTTTACTGCCCTACAACCTGTGAATCAAAAGTTGTTAGTCGAAAAACTAAGCTGTTTAACTATATACCTGAGTAAAAAACTAAATATGTTCAAAAATTTCATAACGGAAATTCTATTTGTTTGCTTAAACTCCTTACTGAAACACAACAAATACAAAATCTGCTGATTAAGTCCCATTTCTGAGCTATATTAAGTTCACTTGCATACAAAAAAACAGGTCTGACTCCAGTATTTTTACAAGCTTAACATTTAGGAATGTTACAAAGAGCATAAGGGCCTAGTTTTTGGGACTTTAGTTAGTAGTAGGCTTCCCTGAATCGAAAAGAAGTCACACTGGCCTAATAAACGGTTTCTTTAGTGAATATGTTTTCAGTTACTAACAAATTTACAAGCTATTGTATGCCAGGGTGAACTCATTCAAATAAGCCTGCTCCATTTGTAAATCTATCAGTTCTTGGACTTGAGGTAAATTATCTTAAATCTATCCCTTTAAACAATTCATAACCAGCCACTGCGTTCATTAAAAATGGTCAAGTAACATGTGTGATTTAATTCAGAAACTTAAAAATTATTTGTTTCAATTGTTACATTCTAAACAGCTAGGATAACCTTTTAGGTGCTGATGGAAAGGTTCAACGGCGACAAGCGGATTTTCTGCTTCATCTTGTCTACGAGATCAGGTGGTGTGGGAGTCAACCTTACCGGAGCCGACACTGTGATTTTCTACGACAGTGATTGGAACCCCACCATGGACGCTCAGGCGCAGGATAGATGTCATAGGATCGGACAGACCAGGGATGTGCATATCTACAGGTAATAGTCCAGTAACATTCAATATGCAGGCGTCGTGTGTTGCTATTGTGATGTGCAAGAAACCTTTCGCAACTATACTCGGGCTTAATCCCGTTTATACATGGGAATTCAGCAATTACTCAAACCCTAGCCTATTCAGTATAGGAGAGGGTTAGAAGTAAAACTGCACTTTTACCATTTTTGAGATAACTCCAATGTTATTTTTTAGTAGCCAGGTAGAAGGATGGTTGCGTTGTCTCGCCAATAACAAGGGTGGTTGGTTTGATCTTAAGTTAACTTTTTGATGGTGCAAAATTTGACTCGGTTGTATGTTGCTAAAAAAGTAAGGTTTACAAACCAGATGATTTTTGATTCATCGTCTTAATAATTTTACACACTATCCATTCATCTTTTCGTAAACTGTAAACAATTCTGATATCAGAATACTAGTAAATCAATTAAATAAATGGCCAGACCAAAACTACGCTAATTCTATTTCAATCAAAATAGAAAATACCAACTGCAATTAGCATTTCTACAATTTTTACTGTTGAAACTCTACAAAACTGCAGATTTTAAGTTACTCAAAACTTTGACCTGGAAGTTTTCAGTTGGCTTCACTTCACGATGTTTCTTACTTCCTGCTGCAACAAAATTAAATTTTTTTTGTGTTTTAGGCTAGTCAGTGAAAAAACTGTTGAAGAAAACATTCTGAAAAAGGCAAACCAGAAGAGACTCCTAGGTGATTTGGCCATTGAAGGAGGAAACTTTACGACTGCATATTTCAAGAGTGTGAGTATTACTATTCTTCTGTATTTTAGCGCCCAATTATTTTTGTACAAACTAAAGAACAACTAAGTTGTCTTTTAGAAGTGATTATAATAGTAGCCTAATAAAGTTTTGTCGCTTACTAATTTATACTATTATTATGTGGTTTTCAGTCGACCATCCAAGATCTATTCAATGTCGATGTGAGTGAAAATGACGCCTCCAAACGAATGGCTGAAGTCTTGGACAGAGAAGCGGAGAGAAGAGCGCAACTTAACAGCGAGGATACTCAGGTATGGATAATATCTTTATATTTAGTGGCGTGAGAGCAGCATATTTTAGCTGAATTGATTCGAGTACATTGTCAGAAAACTGAGTTAAGCATTTATTATTTCGGTATTAATGTAGCCAAGTTTCCACAATCGCAGAAGAAAATGCTCTAAAACCTTCTACACTTAATTGAATAAATATTTCAGACTCACACTCCTCCAGTGATTATATGATAATTTAGTTACAACTCACAGCTTAAATCAATATTACTTATCTCCAATAAGCTATGTGTTGGAGACAAATAGTGAAATTATCATGTTTTTATTCAATTATAAATGTGTAATGTGATTTTTCAAATTCCTAGGATAGTACAGTCTTGCAAACTCTGCACCCAATAACCTAGGAGTTAAAATCTCTTGCTGAACTTAAAAACATTTCTTCACAAGGTCCACAGAATCCAATATGAATGTTATATACAACCTTGTTAATGGCCCTAGTAAAGAACTATTGTACTCTGTAAAATATCTTCAATATTTACGTAGTATCTTTTGCCATTTAGACCTAGGGCACAGATATACTATTACTTTGTGGAGCACGCTTTTAATGGAAGACACGATAGTTAGCTCTTTCCAACAGTTAGATAAATAGTAGGACTAGGTTATAGTAACCTATTATTTAGGTAATAAGTGACACTATTTGTTAAACCGGTATTATTTATCCTATTCATTAAACAACACCCACATCTATGTTGCAGCAGTCTGGGGCCAGCAGCAGTGAGGAGAGAGCAGCGCTGGGAGTGTTGGAGACGGCCATGGCCGCGGCGGAGGACGAGACTGACGTTGCGGCCGCTAAGACAGCCAAGGCAGAGGCAGTAGCGGACCTGGCGGAGTTTGATGAGAGTATCCCGTTCAGTCACATGGACGAGGAGATCAGTAAGGCAGAGCAGGAGGTCAACGCACTAGTCGAAACGGTAAGAAAGAAATAATATTGGTCAGGGGAGCAATCTTTTGTGAACTGATTTACAGAAAGCTATTCTTTTGTGGAAATAATCATTTGTCTTTGGAATACATTTGAGGTTACATTTAAAAGTGATTTTTAGTCCCTTACTAAATTGAAATGTTCATCATCAAAGTGTTACTCAATAATTCAATGTGTTTAAAGCTGAGTGGAGTAGAGCGATACGCCATGAAATTCATCGAGGAGACAGAAGCTGCTTTTTCATCTGAGCAGTTGGCAGCAGCGGAAGCCGAGATAGAGCAACAGAAGCGAGAGTGGGAAGAGGAAAGGTTGGCAGCTTTGCGGATGCAAGAGGAGGAGGAGGAACGCAACGCTGCAGATGCCTCAGAGGAACTACTGACGTATTCCCGTGAAGACGCTCAAAATCAGGTTACTAACTCAAACTCTCAAACGCCACAACACCGAACGCGATCACGAGCCACGGTCCACATAGACTTGTGGACCCTGGACGTGAGTCCTATCCCTGGTAATCCATCCGCCAAAAAAGATAAACCTCCACCTCCGGTGGAAGTGAAGAAGGAAAAGAAAGTTCAAAATGTTAATTCAAACATTAATTCGTCTTCCCCTGTTCCAACTCCCCAAGTCCCTGCACCTTATTCTAATCCTAACCTGGTGATAAGGACCAGGAGAGCTTCCTCCAACCCTGTGTTGGGCAAAACGTCCTGGGATATAAAAGATTTAAACAACCATGTCTCCGACCCGTGCTTGGTAGGTAGAAAAGTGGCAAGGTTGAACCGAGCCAAGCGAGCTAGCATCGAGGGGACAGGGAACGGGCCGGTTTTGTGATCTCGTCAGAAACGCTAACTGCAGCATTGTCAGTTGGCCAAAACTGTTACTCATGTTGATAAATGTCAGACTATTTTTTTCAAGTTTTTCCCCTGGTGTTATTTTTGTACAGTATTCATTATCCAAAACAATTCTAACTTGATATGATTTTGTAGTTCAGATTAGTTCTATTTAAGCGAAAACAATAATTGCAACTGACCTGCTTTTAGGTGTATGGACTCATATTGTTCACATTTTGAGTTCCTTAAATTATGTAGCTAAACAATTGTTTGTGAGTTGTCTACTCTCAAAACAGCCTTTTCATACAAAATTCAATCTTATAATTTGAAGTTGTAATAAATTATGTAGAAGTATTTTCAGTTTTTAAGATACAAACTTTCTAAGTTGTTAAATGACATTTTACCCCTCTTTTGTTGAAATACTCAACATAAAAAATAATTGTGCTTTGCTATTCAGTTTTTTTTTTTTTTTAATATCCGTAGACTTTAAATCTTAAAAAAATTAAAAAGATAAATTTATACTCTTTACTTATGTAACAAAATATTGTATACTTTAAATCATAATGCTTGAAATATTATCTCAATACTTATAGAATAATACAGAAAACAATTTTAGTTTTTTTCCTTTGTACAGTTATATGAACATATAAACTTAAACTTTATATTGAATGGTCTGTACATATTCCATTATTATTATATCATATATAATAATTTAATTTTTTATATTCACACAGTATATTTTATCCACTAGGCTTGTTTACTAATTTATTTGAAATGAACCCCAAAATATTAGTCTTATGGTAATTCATATTTTTATGCATGATGTATGTTGTAAAAAGGGTATTCATTTTTTGTGCTAAAAGAAACAAAATTCTAGAAATGATATAAACTAAATATGTATTATCGGAATTTAAAAGGTTATATTTGAAATAAATTTCTAGTTAGTTGTACATCACGCAAATGTTGCAAATTAAAAAAAAAGATTATTCTACTGATATTTATTTTCTTTAGGCGTATACAAAATCCCAAAGAAAGAATAAAAACCTGTGATGTTATTCCTATTAGTTTTAATGGGTTTTAATATTTAAAACATTTATGGAATACAAATTATGTATTCAAACACTGTTAGTGCTATTAATAATATTAAAACAATCATATTGTTACAACAATTTATTTTAACAAAAGGTAAACTGTGTCCTATGTTCGAACATTGTTCGCCCAAAGTTATTTTTAACTCGTGTATATACTTTATTGTAAATAGCTTGTATAGTCCTCGATAGGAAACTGAGACACAATCGTGCAAAGTTTTGTAAATTTTGTTTATTTTTTAAACCTATTGTTATCGTTTTCTACAAGTATTTATGTCGCGGATTATAACGCTCTTGCGACTGTTGTAATCATTGTATATAACTATTGTGACATGTTGTCACCAGATTTAATCTTAGTTTTTATATAAACTGTCGGATGTGGAAGGAATAAACTTACTGCCTCGTTTCTCTGTGTTGTTTTGTTATTGCCTGGTGTGGATCAGAGAGGGCTCTGTTTTGCGTCCGAACTTTGCTCTTTGTGCTATGTTTTGTGGTGTATGTGCACGGTTCTATACCATATACTGATGTGTGGTACAGAATAAAATAGTATTCAAATGAACAGAAAGGTAACTTAAAAAACTTTAAGAATCAAAAAAAATATTGGAAAAATTAAACCTAGAATAGCCGATTGGACATTTTATGGCCGATAACTGATGTTCCGTAGTGCCAACGCTCACAAAATGACCTATCTAGTATTTGACATATTATATTCAAGCTCATAATCAGTTTTACTTAGATGTAAAGTTAACGAAGTTGGCCATCCTGCTGACTTGCCAGAATTGTTTTGTCAGGTCTGCATCCTGCTCCAGTTGATTGGATTCTTTTTTTGTTTGCATACTTGACAGCTCGTAGCCAGCTGTGTCATTTTTAAACAAAAAAAATTCAATTATTACAGTAAAAATTTACTATATTTAATACCTATTTTTTTAAAAGAATTCATATGTGTTTATTTTATATGACCCATAAAAGTGTCTATATCGTTCCAATGGAATACCTAATCGGCAGTTTCAGGATTAAGTTGTCTAAAACTGTACCACACTATGTATATCGTATGATACTGGCTCGGCAGAAGGTACTATCTGAATGCGATAAATCCATGTCAAAACTCAAGTTTTGTCATGGAATTGTCACAGTTGCACATTGAAAGTTGCAATGTGCATTTAGTTCCTTCTGGCAAGCAAAACAGTATGGGGTGTGGCAAAGGGACCAAAACACTGCCCAATCTTGTCATACCGACATTAGCATCGCACAGAGAGCCGAGCTCGAGACTGATAGGCCCGTCTCCCGTCCAATCCCCTCCTACTGTCCTAGTTAGGTTAGGTTAGGCTGCTAGACACGCATCGGAGTCGACGCCAAAGCTACGTTGGTAAGTCCGCTAAAATAGATGGAATTCACCAAAAAAACATTTGATCAAAGGATTATTTTGAAAACGATATAGAAATCGCTTACCTTAGTTGACTGATGTAGATGTACAATAAAAGTAACAAAACATAACTGAGAATTACGTCCTATTATAAGACTTCTTGAAAGGTTAAAGAGAAAATTAAAAATAAGCTCAACTACTACCTTTATTTTTAAATTTATGAATCAAAAGTAATTTGATACGGATAATCCTTAAAATTTTGACAGTGAATATATCAGAATGCGTATTCACTAAGAATCCCAAAAATGGTAAGATAAAATTCTGAAAAGTGAATTGACATTTTAATTCTACATTTCAAACAAGCGGTGTCCGAATTTATGAGCATAAATAGCCTACGTCATATTAACATAAAAGTGGTTTGAATGTATTAAGTCTTCAGAGAAAAAGTCAGTCTAACTAGACATTCCATTCACATGACTACATTGTAGTTGGATAACAATACAAACTACATGTTGGATTATGTTGAAGAAAATTACTAATTTCTGTTATTTATATTGTTGCACTTTATAACCAAGCCTAACTAAAAATACCCCCGCCGCAGCAAACCTGCAGACTAAGCGAATTTCAACTCGTCTGATTACATTTTTACTAAAATATTTCCATAAATAAGACATATTATTCCCTATTTAAATAACATTAGATTTAACGAGTGCTTAGGTTTGCTGCTACGGGGAAGGTAAAAAGTGTTTTTGACCATACGTCAATAGTATAGGATGAAATAAATAAATTTGCCAAATTTTATCAATATATACCCATAAACAAGTAAACTACAACAATTTTCATTTTCTCCATAAGAATAACATGGGAATTTTTAATTACACTATTTTTGAATTTTCTTCGTGACCGTTAGGCATACAACAGCGCTTCAATATACTAAATTATTTCTTTTTTTAAGCTCTACAAAACGGTTTAGAAAGAAATCGCAAAATATAAATACAAGGTTTAAAAATATTTCATTCCAAAAAATTCTAAGGTTTAAAAGGGAATCAATAAATTATGGATAATACTACAAAATTAACCCCTGTCTAAAATGTCCATACACAAAGTACTTAATTTCGGGATAATGGAATGTTTTGGTGTAAAAGAAAAATATAAGCAAAAGCAATTGAAAATGTTAACTAAATTAAAATTCAAAACAGTAAAACACAATAAATGTATATACCATATCGTAAAGAAAAATGAAGATCTGGCAAACAAATATTTAAAAAAATTATAACTAAAGGTTTGCAGAGAGATTTGGTAATCGTGATCCTCATGCAATCGCAGAGATATCATCATCAACCATGTAGTTCTCGGTGGTGTAGTGGATAGCGCACCGGACTGATAAATCATCATCAACCATTGCTGCGAAATCTTGAATATCTTCTGAACAAACTATCTGAATGCCTTCCAAGGACAATTTGTATAACTAAATTGTTGGTCATATCACTTATAAAAAGACTGTTTTATTATTTTTCCAATTTTAATTTTTTTTTTCCTTTTAAATATTACCCTGCAGCCATCGCATAATGTGTTTTCAAGCAGTTAATAATATTTTTTTTGCTTAAGTACAGTTATTACATATTAAAACAGCAAAACCAATTTTGATAGGTCACAATGACTTCTAGGAATACAGTTTTTTAAATATTTTAAAGTGAAATTGGAAATTGATTATCACTTAGCAGTCTTAAACTATCCAACCTAAATCAACCGCATCTAGTTTGTACTACATGAACAATAATAACAAAACCTTTGTAAAAGTTATTGTCCTAATCAATCCTTTTGAGTTTGTAATTTTTTCTGTTTTGAAATTTTGAACTCACCACCACAAGTAGGTAGAGAATTTTAAATGTGTGGGTTCAAATAAAATCATCTTTATTCTAAAGACACAAATTTTACAATAATATTAGTTTAAGGATTGTGTAGTATGCAGTGGTAAAAAAGCCTACAAACTCAAGTGTCAATGCCAAACACCCCTAAAACTAATAAATCCCAAGGCCAGCATAAGGGGTTTTTTCAACGTACAGTTATTCCACAGGGAGAAATCGTGTGATTTTTTTTAGATATTCAAACACCTGGAGGAAGTGTAGAACAATGAGACTGTACTGTTTAGTTTAAACTAATTAGGCTAGATTCTTTTTCAATTAGGGGTGTGCGAAGCAGCGAAAAATTTTCAATTTGATTCAAAAGGTGATTCCAAGCAATACAGCATTTTTCTATTTTTTACTTGTCCATCGAGTAAAGTGAACAGTAGGCTGATAAAAATTACCACATTTGCGTAATGCAAATTTTTGTTGTGGTGGTACTAGGGCTATTCATACATATGACATAAATGAATTTTAGGTGAAAAGATATATTTTTTTTAAATCATATATTAGAAGAACCTGTATTGCTGGAAATGTCAGTGAGCTGCTTTACTTGCCTATTCCATAATTTTTATTTGCAGAATCATATTGTTAGCATGTTACCTATTTTATTGTATTGATTTTACAAATAAAGATATGTTCTGGTGTAAACAAATAAAAACATTTGCAAGATTTATACTGAAACTTTCAATTGGTTCAAATTGATAAAATGAGAGGATAGAATCAGACCTGCAAACAAACTACAAGGAATACAAAGCAGACAAAAAAAATACAAAATTTATTAGTCTAATACATCAATTACTAGTTAATTATAAAGTAACAATTTTACAGACTTGTGTTTTTTTTAGAATGATTTTGGAGTGGCTTGTTTTAGCTACTGTATTACATTAGTAAAACATCTCTCACGTTGCTTACACTCAACAAAACTTCTCATAATTTGCAATATCAAAACAAAAAGTTATAAAACAATTTAAGCAATATTTACAAGCAAAGAATTAATTAAATAAGAATGACTTCGCAAAGGAAACGCAATATCAACACGCTCCTGTGTTGCACATTGTGTTGACTTTCTGCAGGCGTTTTTCGTATAAATGGAAAAACTAACCTCATAATTATACCAACGTTTGTATGTGCTGTGTATGTTTTTGTAGAGTAAAAAGACATTAAGGCCCCTATTAGACGAGGTAGCCTGGCGACGTCGCCAGCGACCAAACTGGCTACTCAGCTTGTCATGGGGCATTGATTCTTATGGATGTTATTACACGAGGGTAGCCAGCGACGCAGCCACACTTTGGCGACCGACTGGCTACCGAGCCCCGTCGCCACTGCGGTAGCCACTGGCTACCCATATTGGCGACGCTGCGTTGTAGCATATGGAGCCTATTACACTAGGTCGCCAGTATCACGTCGCCACTCGGTCAGTTCATATCACGGGGGTACTTGCACACTGTTGTGCTGTGTGTTGTGAGACCTAACAACTCGAAGAAACTGGATTGTGACATATGAAAATAATTGAAAAATTGTGTATTGTCCGCACAGAGCTCATCAAAAAGGGTGTAATATAACCCTTTCGATTCTCTTGCACTAAGCATTGGATAAAAGTGAGAAGATACTTATAATCACTCACTTTTCAATGTAAACATACCGCTCATAACAAGTACAAGTACAAGACAAACACTCACAACAAAATGAGTAACGGCGGTAAAATTCTAGCTACTCAACTGGCTACTAGGTTTGGTGGCCAGTGCGTCGCCAGCTACTGTCGCTGGCGACGTCGCCAGGCTACCTCGTCTAATAGGGGCCTAAGAGGCAGAAATCTACACAACAAGAAAGAAAACAAACAGATTAATTTCTAATCAAGTATCAGCACTAATCATAATGTCATGTTGTAAGCAAAATGTGTTCAAGGCAGTAAATAGGTGGCAGACTAAACAGTGGTAAAAATATCTAAAAGATGTTTGAAGAATTGCAGTAAACTTACAATGTCTTTATTTGTTAGTTATTGTTTTCTCTTTTCTCAGATCTGGCTATCACAGAACGGACGGGAACAAATGCCTGTAAGTACATCTTCTTAACTATGAACGTTTATACACACTGATTTCTGGTGCAAGTTTTACTGTTTTTTTTTTATATATTGTTTAATAAAAACTTATTTGCTGTCATTTTGTCTTTTTTCTAAATTATATTTTATAGTCTGTGAGGAAGGCGAAGCACTCTGAGGGATTAACGTCCCTTCCACCAATGCACGCGCACTCGCCTGGCGAGTGCCCCCACGGCACGTGACTCATGTGTGTGTGTGTAGGTGTATCTCTGTGTGTGTGAGGGCTGTAATCCCTTGGAGTTCTTCGCCTGCCTCACGGATTGTAATTTAAGTTGATATTTCATGTGATCTGTTGAAATTACTTTTTTAAATAATTTGTTTAAATATTTAACTATTAAGTTTGTTATGGCATATTCTGAAAAATGTCATCCATACAATTTTCCGTTCCAATTAAGAAAAAAACAATTGTAAAAAAAGGTCTTATAATGATTTACAATAATAAGTAATTTTTACTAAATTAAACACACAATATATAAAACTGTTAAATTCTTTGATCAAACAAACAATTTAACAACAGCATAATAATTTACAAGTTTCCCTTTGATATTGATCAAAGTCATAATCCCTAAATTATAAAATTATATTTTCATTTTTTCAGTGAAAGATTGTAAATAACTTAATATTCCTGTGATATTTGTATTTTTTTTTTCAGATTAAATATCCTAAATCCATTCAAAAAGTGATCACATAGATTCTTCAAGCTATGCATGAATGGATTTTACTTTTCTGTTTCTATATTTTTAGAGGTTTTATAAAGTGTTATTTGTACAATATTATAAAATCACACATCCCATGCTTTTTAGGGTCCGCTTTGAGCAGTTTGAAATTGAGACAAATAGTAGTAATGGCATTCATGTTGCTTAACTGTAATTTGGTGTCGGGTTGATGTTGTAGCTCCAAATGCCTTGTCTTCCTTAGATCTAAGTTAGTCCTTTGACAGATGAACGATTCCAATATTTTCCTCCGGCCTGCTCCTCCTTCAAAACCAAAACCTTCCCGAACATCCAAGTCCACTTCCCGTAGATCTTCCAAGGTAAGTTGCAAACTTATACATTTTTATAGCTTTTTAAAGTTAAAGATTGGTTGAACACTTTACTCAATCTACATTTTTTATTATTGGGATGTTTCACAGCGTTGTCTGTTTTACTGTAACTTATAAATTTATTGAAATGTTCTCCCATTTAATTTCTTCTAAAGATACCTAGAAAATATGGGCATTATTTTATTGTTTTGTTACTGTACAAACAAGTAAGCTTATCTTTGACAAAACTCATATTAATTTCAGAGATCATTCAACTTTTAATAATTGCTTTAAGAACTAACTTGCATACGTAATATGTATATAGTAACCAATCTATCATTTCACTAAAAAACTAATTCAATGGTTGGGATTTTTTCGGTTAGTTCAAATAGATCCAAAACAGAATACAAAAAATTGTTTTTCTGAATTTTATCTTATTATGATATATGTTTTATCTGCTCCTTTACAATCTGTTGGCCAAGGAATCTGAATTAACTATACACCACGGGGATAATTTAAGTTACCTAAATTTCTAATTGATTATTTTAATCTCTTAAATGTTTTAGTTAATCCGTATTTCAATTTAATAAAGTTAAACGAGGTTTCACCTTAACTATGAGTTCCTATGCATTATAAAACACCTATTCCTATCCGTTCAGTGATTGTATTTTCCTATCATACATGTAGACAAGTGTAACGTAAAGTTCTGTTTTATATTTCAACTGTTGTGATTGGTCCAGATGTGGTGCCCACCTACTCCGCCGGTAGACGACAGTGACGTGTATATTGACTACACTATGTGTTTCCTGTACGAACCAACCACCATGTCTGAGGCCCAACTACCACCCGTGTACACCAAGAAGGATCGGAAACGCTCCAGGGTCGAGTCCACCAGTGAAGGTAAAATGATTAGAGGGGCTGAAACAGTCTTAAGTAAAAGAATTCCAATTATCCGAACTCCCAACGCTGATTATATGGATTACCTTTTGAAGGACATAGTTGGCTGCGTGACAAATAATAAATTATTTTGTCCTTAACATAACGTTCAACATTGAGTTTATGTTTTGTGGCTAGAGAGCAAAGGGAAAAACTTTGTTATGGCAAACTTCAATTTGGCATATGAAAATTACTCTCTGTTTACATACTCTTGATCGTCTTCATAAATTAATAACTACTTTGTTTTTATACTAAAATTTTGGTTTTGTTGTTTATCTAAAACATTTTATTGGTAAGAATTAATTTAATGTATTTACAGATGTATTGTTATCTGGGGGTTAGGAAAACTGCAGGGCACAGTAAAACTTCAATGAATCAGCTGTTTTGCAAACTAATTCAAAGGAAAACAAAAAATACACCAATTTTTTAAAATTTGTGTTGGTACTAAAATTATTACAAGACAAGCCAGTGTCTCTCTCAATTGACCTTATGTATAATTATAACCGTATGATTCCTATGCAATAAATTTGTTTTATATACATGTATTACAATATCTATTTTTAAGTCAATTGCCAGGAACTGACTTTTATTCTAATGTTTAACAAGAATTAGAAGTAGTTGTGTATTTCAGATAACTTTATAAATTTAATTTTGAGTATTCAATAAACTTTTGAAGTAGGTAACGGATTAAAAGACACAATTGTACATTCCAGGACGCAACCCTATCAAGGCGGCACGGCACCAACGCGAGGAGCTTTCACTGATGCACGCCCCCCGCTCACTGTTTGACCGTCCCTCCCCCGCCCTGATCAAGATGAGGCATGACCTGAGGCTACACAAGTACCGTGGCGGGGCTCGCCCCACGTACAGTCTACCCCAGACCCCGACACAACAGCTGGTGCCCCGCCCTGTCAAATCTGAGACGGACCTCGGACCTGAGTGGATGATATATGAGGACTGGGCGATACTGCAGGTTAGTCGTAACTCTAAATCAGTCAAGTCAATGATGTCCAAACGTTCCACAACAATCTGTCATGTAAACTCACCTTCACCTAAGATGCATTTCAAATAAAGACCTTGTATTGACCAGTTGTTTTCATTGTTTTCAGGCTGTACAGCAGGTGCAGGAGTTGACCCTGAATCTAGTGGTAGTATGTCCTGGACACACCCCTAACTGGGAGATGGTGGCCGACATGGTCAACATGATATCACACATCTACAGGTCACCGCGTCAGTGCAAAAACAGGTAGGCCTACAAAATCTGGACAACATTTTCATACTTCAAATGAAAGCTACAAAAATTCAACTGAACCTAAATGAGAAATATTTAGTAGAACTATATTTTTCTCAGATAAAATTCCAACGGTGTATGAACAGATTCAAGAATGTATAATCTGTGTCAAAAACCAGTACCATAACTTAGTTTTCACAGGGGGAGTTTTCTTTTTGAATTTGACTGCTATTAAACATTTTCAACTATCGCCCAGCATTGCATGATTTGTGTATATATTCAATATATTCAATTGTGTGTGTGAATGTATTCATGGCCAAGATTCCTTGGCATCTGAAGATGTGATCAGATTTCAGATCTCTGTACTGAGTTTTCAAAAACAAAAATAATGTGTTGGTTGTTGCAGGTATGAAAGTGTGATTATTCCCAGGGAAGAAGGCAAGATGATAATGGATATGAACGCTAAGAAACCCAAGAAAACCAAGGGAATCTACAAACTGCCTCAGGTAAGACCCTCAAGTATTTTACAATTTTTTTGCAGACTGTTAAAGTCACTTGCCCAAATACTATCACTGGTTTTCAATTGCTAGTTTGTTGTTTTACTAGGCCTATACTGTAGTTTTGATTAATAAAATAACTTTCATTAATTTAATTTAAAAGAATGTATATTTTATTTCTTATTGTATGGATATGAGGTTAACACAATGCAAAATATTTTGAGCTATGGAAACCAATGTTTTACAAGCTAATGATAGAAGCTTAAGTTTGAGTGGTTCAACCATAAAAGGAGGGTTGAGGTTATGTCATTTATCTCTTTTTAGATCATCTGATTTCTTTCCTTGCCTATTTCACTCTAGTAGTGGATATTAGGATAGTAGAATAGTAATTTAGTTTATTCCCCCAAACGTTGGTGTATTTTTAACTCAATGTGGGTTTCCCTTTAATTAACATCTATAAAAAGTCACCCTTCCATACATTATCCTAACCGTATTTTACAGACTAAATGCTCTCGGCCGATGAAAACATCCCAGATGTACCAGCAGGACACGAATATGTCTTACACCCAAGTGATGAACGCAAAGTTCGAATCCATCCGGACCATATCTAACAACCGCACTCCCACCATGAAGCCTGTACTCAACAACAAGCCGGACATGAAGAACCCGAAGCATGCGGAAGTGTTGTCCGGCTGTGGGATAGACTACGACAACCCGATGTCACCTGTAGACGTGGCCACCCGTCGGGCTGAGAGAATCAGCAAGGAGAAACAGTTGGTGGCTCAGCAAGCGGTGAGTTGTTCTTTTACTTCTCTTTGTAATAGTAAACAACCTTATTTGTAGCTCACCATAATGAGTTTTGTTTATATTTATCGAATGGGAATGGTATTCGAAGTACAAACATTATTGTCCTTCCTTAAGGCAATCTCTGTAGTGTGAACTGTAAATTTATTGAGCGGAGCGAGCGAAGCTCTTATACGTCGACTCTTATGCATTTCGTAATACGCAAACTCCTCCTAGACGGCTGAATCAATCGTTTTCAAATTTTGCATGGTGAAAAAGACCATATCGGTGAGTGCCAACATCTATATGGCGTTAAAAAAGTCTCTCAGGAATCCGCCCCACTGGGTCTCAAAGTTTCAATGTAATCCTTATGGAAGCAGTATTTGACACATAAAGAAAGACATATGATCAGCTGTTGACTTTTGAATGCAGTAGATAAAGAAATAGCTGATAGAATTATTCCACAGATATTAGAACAGAAACGGTATGGATCATAAATATAATCAAATGACGACAATAGCTTGAGTTCCGTGGCGTATGAAGTGGTTAAGGAAGTAGTAAAGGTGAGCAGTTTGGAGTAAGGAATCTGTTTATGACGATTATATTAAGGTATCTGCATTCCTAAAATTCTATGGGAAGGGAGGAAAACAGGTCCGCGGCGTAGGAAGTGGTGAAGGAAGTAGTAAAGGCGAGCAGTCTGGAGTGTGGAAACTGTTTATGACGATTATATTAAGGTGTCTGCATTCCTAAAATTCTATGGGAAGGGAGGAAAATAGGTCGTGGTGAAAGAAGTAGTAAATGCGAGCAGTCTGGAGTGTGGAAACTGTTTATGACGATTAGATTAAGGTATCTGCTTTCCTAAAATTCACAAATAAGTTATGTAACAGTTCAATAATTGGTAAAAGAGAGACTAGGATTACTCTTGACTAAATTTATCGATTACATTTTATTAATAGGTATAAATGATTTCTATGATATAAATGGTTATGATTCAGTGGAACCTCAATAAGAAGACCCTTATATCTTGATAACAAGTCTTATTCAATAATCCCCATGAGAGTCTTGTTATCGAGGTTCTACTGTAGCTTTGGTTTATCCAGCCATCATGGGTTCTACAGTAACTAAACTATATAAAATACTCCTTTGTTCAGTTTTACATCCACGTGTTTGTTATTTCCTAGTCATTGTTGATGTTGATGTTCTAGCAGCAACAGCTGGCTTTGCTGCGTAACCAGATGGGAGTGTCGACTATCAGCTCCTCGGCTGCTATGAACAAAGCCATCGTAGCTGCGACTGCATCACCCACCCAGACTCCCACGACTGCCAAGGCGTTTGTACAGGCTCCACTCTCTGTCCAGGTACGTGGGAGAACAGCGTTAGTCCCTCTCAATCAGAAACCCACGAGGTAAAAGTCCAAGACACGGGGGTGAACACAAAAATGAGTGGATATGTTTCAAACCCGCACATTCTGAGTGCGGAATTTGGTAAAGCAGTATAGTCAATTCCCTCTAATCCGTCCGATGGTCCATCACTTTACTGCAATTAGCCTAGCCCGATAATACGGCATGGGTCTTGAGGTTCAAACCATTTTTTAAATGTCTTTAAAGTACTAAAATACCAAACTCAAGTAAGGTAACCTACGCTTATTAGCACATTCTACGGAGCAGTGATTGGCAGTCACAGGGTGCGATTTGCAGACTTTGAAAGCAATCTGCAGATATCGGTAGACGTGGTACAAAGAGAGACGTTGGTTGTATTTAGGGGTGTGCGATGCATCGAAAATGCATCGAAATTTCGATTCGATTGGATTCGATGCATCGAATCGCGATTCGATTCAGTGGTGGTCAAAAAACGATTCGATTCACGAGGGAGTCAGTATCCATATACAAAAAACGCCTGCAGAAAGTCAATGCAATACCCGCAATACAGGAGCGCGTTGCTGTTGCGTTTCCTTTACGAAGGCGTTCTTATTTAATACATTCTTTGCATTAAATATAGCTTTAATTGTTTTATATTTTTTTGTTTTGACATTGCAAATGATTAGAGGTTTTGTTTTTTGTCTTGATGTAAGCAGTGTGTGAAATATTTTACTACTGTGAACCTAGCCAAAACAAGGTAGGTTACTCCAAAATCATTTTAAAAATAAGTCTGAAAAATTGTTACTTAATACTTAACTAGTAAGATCAATGTTATAGACTGATACATTTGGTATTTTTGTTAGGTGTCTGTCGGTCCCCGTCCCCGAATTTTTGTTGGGGCAAAAGAAAAAAAAAGAATAATTTATTTCCAAAGAAACACTCTTATATTATTATATCTATTACAGAGGAATTAAAATGTTCAAATGAGAATTAAAAATTAAGTTGGCTCACGACCTTTAAGAATAAAGACACAACAGAGCAATTGCCGCACTGCCACTAGCCAGAGCCAGGTCTAGTCCTACTGATAAGAGTAACAAGACAAAAGCCGTGATGCAACACTAACAGTGCAAAGAAAACAAAGTCAAAAGAATAGAAATACAGAAAGACTATTTATCCAGACATACTAGTATAATCATTTATTGTTCATTCAATACCTAATTAAAAATATATTGTAGTATTTTACATAATAAATTATAAACAAAAGAAATATCTGATATAGTGAAGATCTGTATCTTGGTTAAATAGGGTTAAAAAAATATATTTCTAAGATCCAATACAATATTTACGACTCACAAATTACATTGAATTAATTTCTTTGAAAATAATCTCTAACAGTTTTGTGTTTTTGAATAAAGAAATATATTTCTTTGTCTCTACTTCCTTGTTTCATCACTTGCATTTTGTCAGCAATTGAAGCAACTGGGTAGCAACCGGGTGGTGTAAGAGGGGAGGGGGAGGGTCTATGACCTTGAATTCACACATCGTTGCCCGGGCCTGGCTGGTGAGACTGATTCATTGTTTTTGTTGACATACTACTACCCTTCCTTAAGAGAAAAAGGCCCTGCTGTTCCAAAAACATTGAGGGTAGTTTAAAAACATTGACCTGTGTTGCCAAGGGCACTAGAAGATAGCATTTAACTTTCTTGTCTCTTGATTTAATATTATTTTAATCTTCTATATATTATTTAAGAGTTACTTTTCGGGTACCTAATTAGTTGTGATATTGTTTAGCTTCATTTTATGGATTTTTAATTCTTTTCATTCATTAGCTATCAAAATCAGTTGTTTTAGGATTTTAATCTCTTGCAGTACCGGTAGGTCTATACTACTGTATTTCATTTCATTTCATTTCAATATCTTTATTCAACAATTGTACATTGTACATTGAATAGTGTCAGATTCCTAACCTAGTAAATAAAGTTATAAGCTAAAATTACAATTTATATAATACTAAGAAACTAAAAATAAAATCAGGTTAATTGGGGAAACACCTCTTTAATGGAGTAGGGAGCGATTTCTATGAGATAATTTTTTAATTTGTTTTTAAATTTGATTGAGTTGCCAATGGGTTTTAAATGATTTGGAAGAAACCGTAACCGTTGTATGACATGATATGCATTTTTTAGTCCTTATTAATTATACCATAAACAATGTTTGTATGTTATTTACTGTTTTTGAGTTTTATAGGAAATTAGTTTACACAATATCTTTTCTTCAATGAGTTCTCCACTTGACATGTTGCTTCTAGCCTATTACTATTTTAGGCCCTATAAAAATAATGCCTATGTAAAGCTGTAGGCCTACTGATGCCAATAATAATTCTTTATTTATGATGATGTAACAAATAATGTAAGTGTGAGGTTATTATACTAAGGAGGTTAGGAGGCAGGGAATGAATGATACATGTTGCATGGTGGAAACATATTATTTTTATTTTCTTCTTGCTTGCAGTCCTGAAGCCGGTCCACAGGCCCTAAACTTGTGATATGTAAATTTATTTCTTAATGGTCTTTTTATATTAAGTTCCATTCAAATTTGTTGTAATTTAGCTACCGGTACCTATTTAGTTATTTAAACAGTTATTAAAATGAGAATGAATGTCTTGATAAAAAAAATATTTTCTTCTTTCTTGCAGTTGAGCCAATTCCAAGTAAAAATTATGAAATAGGCAAGTAAAGCAGCTCACTGGTATTTCCAGCAGTTATTCTAATACATATGATTGAAAATAAATATTTTTTCACCTAAAATTCATATGTAAGTATGAATAGGCCTAATACCACATCAACAAAAATTTGTATTACACAAATGTGATAAATTTTAATTATTGTTAATCCACTCAATTGACAATTATGAATAGAAAAATACCGTATTGCTTCGAATCGAGTTGCATCGAATCGAATTGAAAATCTTTTGAATCGAATCGTTGCTTCGAATCGAAAATTTTTTGCTGCTTCGCACACCCCTAGTTGTATTCAATAAATTTTGGGCACGTTCAATTTTTATTTTATTTTAAGCATTTAATCACTTTGAAATAAATACAGCTTAATAAAAAATTTAGTGACCTGTCTGCTTATAATTTTCCATTGATCTAAAATTCATCTTCTGTGTACCTACCACTAGACCACCTTGCTCCTCATAAGAAATTATTAAACACCTACCAATTATAAATTTCAAGGTGAATAAGCAAATAATACTATACCTGCGTATTGCTTGCAAACTACTTATATTACTGTACTGCTTCCATTTTAATGTAATTCTGATTAATATTAGGATAACAGAGTAAAACCTTCAATTTGATTGTTGAGATACTAATGAGCTGGTATTGCAGGAGCTGGTGGTAGCAGCTGGTAGCGGCGGGGGGCAGGTAGTAGCCAGAGCGTCTACACCAGGCCCCGCCGTCGCCTCTCCACAACGCACCACCATAGTGAGCCAAGCAACCACCACTGTAGCTGCCAAAGGTGAGTCCAGGATGTCCAGGTTCACCTCAATCGCTCCTCTTGGTTGATTTTGTTCTATGAATGTTAGGGTAGCGATACAATTCTGTTTGCATTAGAAACAGTTACCTACGATATCCCCCCATCTGGACTCAGTTTGGATTGCCCAATTGTTCTAGCCAGAAATGCTGTATAGTATAATCTTTAACTATTAATACAACTAGACATTCCATCCCCATGTTAAATTTGTAGCCAGTTTTTAAACCATAATCGTCGTAGTTGAGAAGTTCAAAGGTGCCACCGACAAATTGTGCTGATCTAAGTTACTGATTTCTGTTGAATACACAATCTTTTTTGCCAATTCAAACTAAAGGAATAGTCACTAGCACATTCTGTGACCAGCTCACACAACTACTTTCTTTTTTAACAAAAAATTGGCCACAGCTCGTCCATATAGATGGGACGTTTACTTCAGTATCCAATAGTCAATGGTATAATATAAATCATTGTATAATTAGCCATTTTCCACAACACTGTGGCTTACTCGATGACGACATCATTATCCCACATTCATCACACATTCATCATTATCCATTTCCCGCAGTCATGGAACCAGCCGTGATCACCTCCCACAATTTAGTGTTTTTCTTAAAATACAGCAATCTTAAAAGAACCAATGGAACATCATTAATGAATGGACACACTGCCATAGGCTACTGGCAATATTCATATTCCTAGATCCATACAAAATTTGCGCACATTACATTCCACTAACTTTTTTCCTGGGCATAGAAATTCATGTTTAGGCTAATTCCTAGTTTCCCTGTTCTGCTGGACACCCTTTTTATTTATTACACAGCATGCATTATTTTACATTGCAAAGTATACAGGAATAAACTTTCAGGAGCTTTGCAGCATGAATACCGTAAAAAAAACCAAAGTTCTCACAACAGGGTATGGACTAGTGTGACGGTAAAATATTAATTACATTTTCAATTGAAAAATCATAAAATGGTAACAGTGTAGAGGTACATTTCAATTTCATTGATAGGTTAGATTAGAAACCTTGTTTATATTTAACAAACTGTTTCATAGTATTTTTGTATCAGTTGTTTTCTAAAAAAAAATGTAGATTAAATTAAAGTTGTAATATCAATTAATTTTCAACAACGTTATACTATTACATATTATTTTACTTTGATAGTTAACTTTTAATGTTGAATGTATAATGGCATTCATGTCAATCTTGTCAAAACTACTATTGCTGTATTTAGTCTAAGCAGTTAAAGATTTATTTTTTACGTTCTGTGTGTCTGTCAGTTCTAATCAGCTTCCAACTTTCATCACAGGTAAGCTTGATCATTCCATTAAAATAATAGTCTTTAAACCTTGATAAGTTTCATGCAACTTGTTTCACAAAAAAAAACCAAAACCTCAAGAAACAACTGAATCAATCAACACTGTACTTTAAATCTCTTAATCAATCTAAAATAGCTCTAAAATACAACTTAAATTTGATTTACTTTATTTTGTAATTTAACACTTTTATGGAACAGTGATCATTTTGGGTGAACAAAATTGGACCGAACACACTACCTTGGGAAACTCCATTAGCATGCAAAAGAAGAAATTTTGTATGATTTGAATCTAAGGATATACTCTCTACTATGAACACTGAGCACAGATGTTGTGATGTTGGTTGTCATGTTGCTTAGTTGTTATGTTGTTGCTTAGTCGTGCCGAGTAAGCAACTGAACCCAGCGCAACTACAGCTCTACCAGAAACAAGCATTGTTGCGTCAACAGCAACTGAGAGCGGCGGCACTGCAAGGTAGAGCTGGGGCCGTCCCCGTCACCTCACCGTCCCAGCCCAGGATTCACCAGGTAAACATGAGGTAGCTTTCCTGAGAAAATAAGGGAGAGGATTATAGGTGTTCAATAAAAGGTCACTTTTTTTTCTTTTTGTCCTAGGACGCTAGACATGAGCCTGGGGTTGTTTTTCACATTACTTCAGGCTAGACCTAGGTCAATAGACAATAGACAATAGACAATAGACAATGTTCTTTATTTACATATTCGTGGGAGAATAGTACATGCGTCAAAACAAAAGATTTTAGATTGTCAAAGTTATACAATGCTCAAGATTTTTTTTTTTTTTTTTTATAAATGTGATAACACAAAGTTAAAATTTTGATGCCCAGAGAGAGCTCTTGTCAGCGGCGGCGCTGTGTCAGGTGTTCAGGAATTCTGATTCTGAGTAGTAGGGTCTTCCTTGGAGCCATTCCGTTAGCTGGTTCTTGAAACGTTGGGGTGGCTGGCTTCTTAGATGGTCGGGTAGGTGGTTGAAGAAGAGCGCTCCTTTGTATGAAGGTTTCTTCTCGAAAAGCGTTAGGCGGTGTAGTAGGAGGGTGAAATTTGTGGCATGTCTTGTGTTGTATGTATGTAGTTCATGATGTCTTAACTGTTGTGAGGTCATTACCTTTTATTCACTAGACTCCAAATGTTCTCATGTAAACTATCTAAAATCTATTTCTCTATCTTTAACATTGTTTTTATTAAAATATTTGTCTTCAAAGTAATTTATTAACACTGTAACTAATGCTGATCCTGATATAAGAATTCTGTTGTCTAAAACAGCCAAATAATGCTTTTCAATAAAAAATTTGAACATAGTGTGTTTAAAATTAACAAAGCTAATAATCAGCCACTCAAAATTTCATTGATAAGCCATAGGTTTCATTTTATACTTTTGTTCTCCGCCGCCATGACCTAGGTTTAATTAATTATGCAGATCATTAAGCCCTACCAGTATTTTAACTTCAAATTATACTAATATTGACAAATAAAAAATACAATTTCCAAAAAAAGATTTTCCTTTTTTTTCTGGAAATTGTAATGTGATACGATTGCGAAACAACCGATGTGTTAACATCTTAAGGGTTCCAATCAGGGCACTTTTCAAACTAACTTAATTGAAATAACCTTTTGACTACAATGTCCCTGTGTTGTGCAGGTGAAACAGGTGAGTACTGTTGGGACTGGTGAGGTGGCAGCTCTGATCAAGCGCCAGGCGGTGGCAGGCAAGACTGTGACCCCGGCGCAGATACTAGCTCAGGCGGGGCTGCAGGCGCAAGGTGGCAGCGTGGCGGCTCTAGTCAAGACTGCTTCTGGACAACACCTGCCTCTCACTCTGCCCCAGGTAGTTACACGATTAGAATCCGTAGTTAACATCGACAAATGTGTCTTCATGCTTCAGTGGTCTTGATTAACCGAGGTTCCGTGTTGAGCATGAGCTAAATGTGTAAATATATTAGTTTTATCTGTATACAAGCATCATTATCAGAATCAGTGGTGAAAACGCTACAAATTTGAGTTGGGAGTAGGGTGAGACTTGATCTGCAGCTACGCCTACCAAATACTGTCAACACGAGTTAAGTGAGTCTAGTGACGAATATTGACCGATTAAGCGCAATTGAGAAGGCACCGTCTATGCAGAAAAAAAAGAAGACAATGCCGGCTACTAATTATGATGTCGTCTACGCTGTTTGGCGACCAAGAAATGAGACAGAAAATTGTATATACTTAAAATTCTAACTTTTTTATATAAATAATTAGCTCTTGTATAGTATGTTTCAAACTGATCCATTAATGGTAGATACAGTACAGCTGTTTTCTTATTATGTTTTTGGGCTTTTATTAGTGTTCCTTAATGTCTTTTTGATGTTGACAAAGGATTTAGTAATCCCAAAGTAGCCTTAACCCCAGTTAATCAAGACTACTGTAAGAACGAAACGACTCAACAACCTCCAACTGACAACACGGTTGCCCCCAAAAACCGCTATTGATTCTAATGACACCAGCTGATGATACCCATCTACCCTGGACTTATCCTTGAAGGAAATAATAAATCGAGAAACAAAATTGAGAAGCTCTTTAAATTTTGAACTCTATTTACAATTCGACATCATTCAATCAAATTTGTTTTACAATTTTCTGACAAGTCAAGAAGAAAAGAAAAGAATTTATTTATAAAAATAAATACGCCTGCCTTAAAAAATAAGGTTGCCAATGACACAGAAAAAAATGTACACTTAAAGAAGGATTATAACAGCTATAAGACTGATTAATTTTGATGTTTGCCATATAAATGATTTCTCATTATAGTCAATGAACCTCTTAACGTTTCATCGATAATAATTTTCAAAAGGGATAATTTTAAATGAATCCAACTTTTATTTAATTTTGACTGAGCTAATACAACTTGTATATTGTTAATTCTGGCTGAATAAATGATTTGATTTAAGTATTACAGTTTTGTTTTACTGTTGCTCATGCAACAAGTTTCTCTTTTGTTGTTAACGTAAATATAAGTTATAGATTCAATATCATTTAATTGTCTAGTTAAAATCTATAATTACATTCTTCAGTGGACTCAGAAATATTCAGTAAAGAATATAAATAACAGTTGGAATTATTATCTACACAGGAATATCCCATGAAGACAGAATCACATAGTTGAGATTTGGAATCTCGTTTCTTTAATATTTGCATCAAGGAATGTTAACAAATTTTCCTTAAATAGAAAAACAATGAGAAATATGAGCTTACTATCACCATAACACATTTATTACAGCAATTTCTAATTATTGAGCAAGTTCTGATTTTGTAATTAAAGTTAATTTTAAAAATTGCATCTTTCAATTCTTATTGCATGGCATTTTATTGCCTATTTATTGTAACATAAACCAAGAAACTAAAATAATATTTGCATTTGGGAAGTTTGGGTTTTGGTTTCAAGTATCAAGATTTGAATTTTCTGGTTTTGACTACCACTATTGTGGTTTTCTCATCATGAATGTAATTTGACAATCAACACCTCAAGCTACAAGACAGCAGATTTTAGTTTTATCTCAGTAGTTTGACGCAAATTGTATGTGATGTAATATATTTTTATAGAATAAAAAAAAAATTAAATTTAAGTTGTTTAATATCTAAAAACTGATGCACTTGTTGAGGGTAAACTTTAACCTCCACAGCTTATGAAAATTATAAACTCTAATCAGAAGACAAGAAAGAAAACCTCAAACTCTAAGAAACCCTCGCTATAAGAGTGAAAAAACAAATATCTCCTGGATTGTTTGAAAGCTGTCTTTCTACAAACTTAAAAGTAAAGACTTATCCGATTGGAAGATTCTCCTAAATTCAATGAACTTTTCTTGTGGAAGACAATTATCACCAACTGCTGATTCCCAGATTTTAATTCAAATTTAATTTTCATCAAAAAATAATTTATTTAATTTACTGTTACTTTTACTAGAAGCTCTAATATTGGTCTTTACTAATGCATTATGAAATCATTGAAACTACATCTCATGTGAATAAAGGGCATTATCCAAAGGAAATTTAAGATCCTATACAAGCAGTCACATTTTTTTCATGCAACAAATTACTAGCTTGCAGAAATATCATAAATTTAAAAATCCAATTTAAATTATATTTCAAATTATTTTGTATATTGGAAAGTATGTGTTTCATCGTTTGAAGAATCATATTCAACCACAAGAAGAAACAAAAGTTTGAAAATGTATCAGATATGTGAAGATAGAAGATGTATATATGACATTCTTGTGAATAATAATTAATTCAATAATATTCATGTAAATATTTATTTACAGACGTGAATAAAGATAATTTGATTTGAAGGTGAAAAATACATTGAAGGTAAATCCAGAAGAGGTCAACATGAATATAAAATTTGAATCAGTACAAAATAATATGAAAAATCCTCTCTTCCACATTTTTGAAAATTGAATAATCTTAAATAATTTCTCATTTTATTATTATTTGGATTTTTATTAATATGATTCGATTAAACTTAATTGTTCAAATAATTTTTACCATCATTAGAGTACCTATTGCACAATTAATTGTCTCATGCAAAAAATTAAGACGATTTATTAGTTAAAGGTTGAATTTTTATGAAATCGTTGTTTTGTTTAAGAAGAAAACACATCAAGAGGAATTTATAAAGGCAATATGAACAGTTTTATCTCAACTACTTAATTAATCTGCGGAGTTTTCTCTTCCTAAAATGTCTAAAGTATCAAGATATTTGGAACGACTAAGAATATTGAGAACGAGAACATACCTGGACAACTTTACCAATTTAGTAAAAAACTGCAATGAATATTGATGGATCAAGTTATTTTGAATGAAAAGGAGAGGTAGAGAAAACAATGGGATATGATGTAGTGGAACGCCAAGATAGAACGATGGAAGCAAGAAGAAAAAGAGCAAGAAGCTGAACAGCTGTCTACCTGGCGATAAAATACAACAGAAGCTTATAACGTTCAGGCCATTGGAGTGAACTTTTTCAAACAAATTGAACATTTCAAATTTTTTCAGTTATTTTGCTGAAACTACAAACAAACTCAAAAAATGTCTTGAATGTTTTTAAAAGACACAGTTTTGGTTTTGCTCAAGCTGATTTTTAATTTTCATCAACACTTGCACCAATATCAAGTTTGCTTTTGATTTTGGAATTTCACACTTAAGGTGTCACTAATTTTATTTGAATCGATGGATTATATTTTTACTTGGGATTAGTATAGTGAGTGTATAAAAATAGACCAATTTTGAACTAAACTCTGTGTTACGGACAGTTAACAATCATCATTAGTTAGAATGCATTATCTCTGCCAAAAATAACATTCATAAGTATGTGTTTCGCAAAGATATACACGTATATAACACAAGAAACAGAGATCAAATAGATATACCCCGGCATAACCTCACTTTTTTCTCAAAGAAAGCAACACAAATCGGATGTTAATTTCTTAATAAATTACCATCAAATCTGAAAACTAATATACACACAAAGGGATTTAGGAAATTAGTAAGAAAATATCTCCAAGATAAAACTTGTTATTCTATTGAAGATTTCTTTTTATAGCTCTATTAATCCACCCAATAATCAAGCTTATTTGCTACCAGCATGACTAGAGCTGGTTGTAGGTATATATTTACAAAAACGATTTCAATGATAAAGAAGAAAAAATACAAATTGCAAGATCTAGTGACTGGTGAGCGAATTTAATAAATTTGTCTTTAGCCTTTTGTTATGTAGGACTAACTAACCAAAAGAGTAAAAAATGTTTTAACTACATTCATAAATACACAGCATTAATAAAGGATTGTATTGCATAGATTTAGCAATGTATGTAAATAAAATAATGTTAAAATAAGAAACATAATGTACTTGTTAGTTCTTATTTCTGTGACTCTATTCATGTATGTATGTACAGTTTGAATAAAGATGATTTGATTTGATTTAGTTTGGAAAAAATTAAGCTCACACTGCCTCTAAAACCATCTACAGTTTGAAAATTTGGATGGATTAAAACCCCATTTCAAGATAAATCTTATTACAGTTGAGTGAAGAAAATCTGCCTGCAGCGGGGATATCTTCTCAATTACTTATATTTACTTGTTCAAAACAAATACTAGAGATGAAAAGATTTGTAAATTTAATAGTTTTTTTTTTTAATGTTTTACGGACTGAATTTGTTTTGTTGCAATGTATTCATAACCAAGCACAACCCTTTGGAGCTCTTACTATGATTATTTAATAATTATCTTGTTTTGTTTTTAGCAAATTTCCTGTAAAAGAAATAAGTTATTACCGTAAGTCTCATGGTAAGACCTGGCTTATTTACTTTGTTGTCATGATGTATCCAGTAGCCAAAAAGATCTTCCGTTGGTAATAAATCTGATATGTTTAGAGAAATATTTTGAAGAAAATTGAATTAGTCTGCAGGTTTGCTGCTGTGAGGGTATTTGTATTTTTGACACTTTAGCCTATATATATTTTGCAGTATAAAGATTGTTAATATTTATCGTCCGTAGGTGAAAGCAGCTTTACCGCAGGGAGTTAAGACTGCTACTGCAACTCCGCAGCAAATTAGACAGTTGACACTGCAGAATCAGCTTTTAGCACAGCAACGCAGCAAGTTGGCGGGCCAGAAGGTGGGCCTAGGGCAGGTTATGGTAAGTAGCAACGAAAAATAATCGCCCAACTTCTATAAAAGATTTGTTTTTAGTTCTTGTTATTGAATTGGCAACGTATGTTGCCGTCACATGGATATCTTATTGTTACATTTTAAACATTCTCTGTTATTTCTGTAGCCTTTATTTCAGTCATCAAGAGTAACTCAAACATTGACATGTTCTCTAAAAGTATTGGAATTAGTTTTATACTAGCACAATTCATCAAAAATGGCCAAAAGCCTGGCTCAGACTAAATAAGATTAAATAATTTTCAGTCGGGTCATGTCATTTATATACAGGCGGCTTGCAAGAAGATTGATTTTTTATATTGTCGCTTTTGCAGACACAATTGAAAATTTACGATTTGTGTGCCATTTGTTGGTCTCCTTCATTATGACCTGACCACGGGAGAAGTTAATGGTTTCCCCATGACCACAGGAGACATATACTATCCATCCACGGCGTCAGGAAAAATCAACGATTCTGTCACCGTTACTGAAGATGTTCACGACTTTGCTGCAACGTATTTCAGTAGAACAATTTTTATTTTATTATTTTTTTTATAAATACTTTCTCAAGCAACCTAATCCCAACCCAAGACCTGAAACTCAACTTTTTTGCTATTTGACCCGAAGTTAAATAGCCTGGCTCGCAGACCTTACATTTTACCCATCCTTGTAGTCTTCGTTTTCGTTTTTGTTTTCTTAAGACGATAGAAAAACTATCTAAAAACATGGCAGCGTTAATATAATTACTTTCCAAACCAAAACGTCACTTAGTTCCTGGAACAACCCTTGTTCACCCCTCGACTATTTCTGTGATTTGTATGTAATTAGAATATAGAACATGAGCAGCAGTAATTTCACATTCTGTATGTGACAGGTGACCAACAAGGGTGTGCCGGCCCAGCTGATAGTTCAGTCGCAGAAGTCTGTCCCCACCACCATGACAATGCAGCAGATACAGCAAGTCATAAAACACGTCCATCCACAGCACCTGGCCCATGTTAGTATTTCTTTTAGTTGATATAACGTTCTCACGATTCTCTAGCTCTTCCCGGCAGGGTTTTGTTTTAACAAACGTTAAGAACTTTAGGCTTGCTATAGATTCTAGTGAACAACAAATTTTCATCAGGTTTTTAATTACCATAGAATTAAACCGTGGTAAAATTCTGGTTATAGTGTCCCATCTACATGATTGCTAATGATATTTTGTGTTTTCCAGCAGGTACTCCATCAGAATTCATAGTTTTCAAATCTTTGAAAGAATGTCAATTCAAATCTTGTTAATAACAAAGCAGTCATTCACTAGTTGTACCAAAAGTTGTGATTCAGTAAATGACAGACTTCAAATTATTGTTGGTTAGGGTTTCGATTTTAAAATAAATACATAATTGTACCTCAACAAGTTTACCGTGAGTTACATACATCACAGTTTCCACCAATAATCAAAGAACCATTACAAATACAACCAACCTTGTTTGTACCAGACGCTACAGTAAAAAGCTTCATGATGAACTGGTTGGAACACTATGTTGTGTTTGTGTTGTATAAGTATGATTGACAGTTGGCAATTATTTAAATTGGAGCCAGTGAAAAGGTTCTCACTAATCAGGCTCCAAAGTTACTTTTACGGGTGTATGTGATGGAGCTGTCGAAACAAAAGGCTAAACATGATGTTCATTCTCTGGTGCACTCACCATAATTTTATCTGTTTTGCTGACAGGTCTCAACTACCGGAGGACAGACTGTAGTGAGTCAAGGTACCTCTGGACAAGTCATATCTCACACTGTCATCACCAAGAACCAAGCAGGAACCTCTCAGACTAGACTCATCCCTCAGCAGAACGTTAAACAAACCATCCAGGTACAGTTATTGTCCAATATTCATCGTTAACCCATTGATGACAGAATTGTGTTTTTATTTATCTAGTATTTATGATATATGTATTTCAACACGATATGTTAATTTTTATCCAAAATAAAACCCAAAAAATAAAATCCTTTGGTTTGTGATAACTGCAACCTTTGTGTGAGTAACCTTTGTGCACCTTCCTAGTGTGAGTAATAAGTAAAATGGTCCTAAGCTCAAGTCACCTCACTTGTCTATTTTTAGTCCTCCCAAATAGTGTTCTGCATTTGAAAGATGTGAAGAAATATTGAACATAGAATGCATATTTATGGAATATCTAGATGTTAACCTTTTATACTGTTTGACAGGTAGTTACTGCTTCGCCGGGTGGTGTGAGAACGTCCGTTCCCAACGTAACCATCGACAGATCACAAATGGCTGCTGGAGCCATCAAAGTGACCGGCTCGGCCGCCCAGCAACAGGCTCTCCTCAACCAGGTACACACTCTTAGCTAAATAAGATAGAACTAAGGGTATTTACTCAAGGGAGGTATAGAAGAGCCTTTGTCAGCTGTCGCTGTCAGATCTCTTCTCTTGAGGGAACACTATTACCGCAACGATACGGAGTAGAGCCATGAGCCTTGGTGGCGTAGTGGATAGCGTACCTGGCTGATAAACTGATGGTAGCCGGTTTGAATCCCACCGGAGCCGTTAACTTTTTGATTTTGCTTAGAATACTTCTTAACTGTACATCTTTTGTTAGAATTTAAGGCGTTTATAATTTTATTTTATGAACAGAAGTATTTTTTTATTAGTAAACCTTCATTAAAATTTTTCATCATCAGCAAGTTTGGTTAGGTTATGACAGATAAATTTTATAAAAAAATTAAGCGCTGTGCTCTCTACTACAGCGCTGTGCACGGAGGAATTTTGAATTAAACTATGATGTCATTGTTGCCTCATTTATACCTCACGTAAGTCAGACCCTAGAACTGAGGGATTAATAAGAAAATTGGGGGTTTCTTTAGAGATTTTTTTGGGGAACTTCCAGTAAGGGGCAATCGGTTTAATCGGCGGCTTATCTTGTGGGTTATAGGTACTTCGGTCAGATAATTAAAGTTGCTTGTTGGCTTCACTGAGGTATTCTGATTTATTCATTACACTGTTGTGGGACCTTTGTCGGCAGGGAGGATTATAATGATATGCAATATTTCCTATAAACCCAGTTACTATTAAACCCCTTATTTTTTATTCATTGTGTATCATTATTGGCTCTGGGCCTGACGGATGTCAACTGAACAATGCAGATATTTCTTTTCCGCCTGTGCTTAGGCTATTTTCCCTTGGAACCAAGCTGGTCTAGTGGTAAAGCGCAGGGCTTCAATCCCTGAGGTCTCTGGTTCACATACCGCCAGTCATCAATGGATTTTACCGAAGTGATAATGTCGCTCACTAGGCCTAGACTGAAGTATTTGTAAATCAGCTCCTGGCTAGAGCCTACATCTTAGGTCAAGAAAGATGAATTTAAAATTTTAATTAAAAAAATCAAATTAAAAACTAACAGTTGTTTTGTGCTCAGGTGACAGCAGTGCTACAGCAGGGTCAGCAGATTGCTGTGAGACAAGCTCCAGTGAGAATACAAACATCAGGCACCAACGTCACTGTGTCTCAGGCGCCCACGTTGCTTACTCTGGCACATCCACAACAACACAACACAGACAATGTAAGTTTCACAAATTTTATTTCAAAATTATTTCTTTTCCCATCCAAGAACATTGGATGAACATTTTGAATTTCAAGTCAAATCAAATTTTATTGTAACAAAAATGTTTATTTTTTACTGAGGGTATAGATGGTTCAGCCATTTAAATTGATTCAATTCACTTTTGAACAATGTAATTTGTTAACTTGAGAATACACAATGGAATTGGCTAACCATTGTGAGTAGTCAAATCAGATACATCTCCTGTGGGGAATCCACCCTATGGCCGCCATCTTTACTCAAAGTTGTCCATATTCGCAGGTACACCAACGTCTTCTGCCATTGCGTTAAAATTGTGAGCGTCTCCTGTGGTTGCAGATTATTTGCAAATCTCCTGTCGTCCTAATGAAATCGCTAACATCTGTGATCGTGACGAAATTGTTAGCGTTCCCTAAAAAATTGATTATCCTCCTCAGAATTTAAAAACCTTAAACAAACCCAACAAGAATCATGAACAGTTTCCTTGGTTTTGTTGAAACAGTGAGGGGCCCTAGTTTTTGCTGTGAAATTGTAAACATCTTTAGCAATCATCTTCCTCGCTTCTGCGTTCCCGAAGTCATCATCATCGATGTGGCAAAATCGTGAGCTTGTGTCATGACCTCAAGATAAATAGTGGAAGTCCACTAAAAGGCCTACGCCTGCGAAAGTTTGGAAAAAAGCAGTCTTTGCATAGCTGTAATTTTTTACTCGGATGTTCGTTCGAGTTTGGGTTTGCGGCATTGTATTTTACTAACAAAGACCTTTAATTTTATGTGCATATCAATCTGTGTATACATTTGAGATTTGTTCCTAGTGGGCCGTCCGTCCCCCTGAGGAGGTAGCGTATCACTGATTAATGTGTTAAAATGATTTTAATGCCCAATAACTTTCTGCCTAGTTTTGTAGCTATATTAAATATTTTTTTGAAATATTTATCTGTCCCGGGATTTTTTCCCACCCTGATACAGAAGGTTATTAATGTTTCCTTTGTTCTTTTCAGACACAGAATCAATAGCAGAAGGAAGAGGCTGAACAGCCTTAAACTGTCAAAACTTAAGTTGTCGTCATCTACAATTTATGTTTATTATGACATATAATGTAGATCTTACAGTACTTGTGTTTTGTACTAGAAATAACTTATGAAATCAATGTAATAGTGCTATAGGCCTACTATCATTTTAATTACCAAATCTGATTTTTATCATGACATTATTGAATGTTTAAAATCATTATGTTTTACGATTTAATCAGTCCTTAAAATAATCATGTCAATCATATGTTCTTGTTGGAAATATTGCATCTGTTTCTACAAAATCGACGATGTCAAGTATTATTACACTTTCTGACATCATGCATGTATGTTAGAGTTGCTAATTCTATTTGGACTATTTTTTTTTTCATTGAATCAATATTGTTCTGATTTGTTTATAATCATTTTAAATGTATGTTTTGTCACGTTTTGTTGAGTATTGAACTACCACAATATTTGAGATTATTTATTTACAGTACTTACAAGACTATGTGTATATTTATATTTCTAGGCATGTCCTTAAAATTGTTATGTTGTATTATGGGATAAGATTATGTTTAGTGTGTTGGTAATTTTTAGCTTTAATTGATAAACATAGTGACACGATAATCATGTTAGGTTGAGGATTTTTTAGATTATTATTTTTTTTTTTACTTTTAAACCTCTAATTAACTTTAAGTTAATTGTTGTTACAGTGTTTATTTTCATTTCTGATTTTAGATTTTTGCTCTTAGCGATTGTACAAATGATGTTTATAATTTTTGTATTTTTTCAAGTATAATAAAACAAAACTTCCATTATATTGTGTACTTTACTTTTAAGTTTATACATTTTAATAAGTATATGGAAGTATTAGCAAATTTCTATGTGAATTAGATAGTAGTGTAGTTATTGTCTGGAGCCATTTTACTTTTATGTCTCAGGAAACTTTCTTTGTTGTATTTTTATCCCTTCACTTGATAACTGCTATACAAATTATCTGATTGTGATGAAATTTTGGGGAAACGGTAAACTAACATAAGCTCCAACCAACCATGGTATTTAAGTAATGTGGGTTTTGCTTGCCAAAAAATCAGATCTTTTTTCTTTTAGACTAAAAAAGTTGCAAAAATGAAAAATGTTACCTACGCCGTGAAAAGTTTATTTTGTATTTGTTATTGTTGTTATATCATATCATATTATAGTGAAAGTTGAGTAGATTTCTTTCACAACCTTTATGTTATTATTTTTTTTATTATAAAAATTATATTTACATTTTTAGTGTACAATATTGGTAAACTGTATAAATCATTGTTTCAATGCTAAGCAAAGCAATCATTTTTAGCTATGGAAACTATTTTGAAAATTATTTAAAGCAATATATTTTCTTATAATAATTATATCTAATTCTTAGTTAGTTTTATTTTTTAAATACATTTGTTAACATTTTAATACTTTTTAAGGAAATGGCGACCATACAAAGTAGGTATTTTAAGCCAAGTATGAATGGAGATGAGTGTAGGATGAGTAGCATGATCTTGTATTCTTGATAGTGACTAAGGCCGACTTATTCCTTAGACAAAGCTGTTAGCCCATATAGCTAATGGCAACTAAGGGACCCACAGTTTATAGTAGAGTCCGAACCACATTTTTGCCTTACGAATTGGTCTAATTTTCAGGATAGTACTGCAGATAGTCGTAGTACTCACTTGTGCGGACGTTAATCCACACCAGGGAGTATCGCATCCACAGTGCATTCCTATAAATATCCACAATTCGTAACCTAGTAGCTGGATTACAGGACGACGTCACCCGTCCCAGTTCTCTCCATGAATACATCTTGACTATATTTCTCTTCTATGATAGGCCTACTCATGTTGTTAATCATCAAGATTATTTTTGTCTAATATATTTTAGTAACAATCAAATTATTCTAACATATTTTATTCATTAATTTATTGTTTCTTTGTTTCAAAATATCTTCTTTACTCTATAAATTAGACTGTTGTCTAGTTTTCAACAGATTTGGTGGCTGCTAAGCGTATTACGTTTGTAATAATTTTAGCAGTCATCAAAAAAAGCAATTAGAAAGCAATGTGAAGCATTGGTATTGGCCGTTTGCTTGGAATTCCTTCCATTTCCATATTTTTTTCATTTACTTTTCTCTAAGTGACAAGAGCTTAGAATAAATGTTTTGTGGATTATTGGATGTATTGTGGTATATGTACTGATCATTTTTCACTGTTATATTAACAGTGGCTCATTGCTTTAAAGTTACTATATAAAATGTGCTTTCGTAGTACATGTTGTAGAATCGTGCTGTTGTAAGCACTTAGTTTGTATTGTAGTTTCAAAACCATTAATTACATGTATTTTGTCAATTTTTGCTGAAATGTATATTCCTGACAATACGTCTTTTACGCTTATAGTAATCTTTAGTTGCCCTCGTGGTTTGTATTGTTGCAGATACGTATTTTTGTACAGCTCATGTGTTGTAATTATTTGCCAATGTATTGTAAATAACGCTTATCACCAGCAAGTAAAATTGTAAAAATCATTTTGATGTAAATATACATGCAAAAAATCTTTATCACAAATTTTTCAGTGTACACAAAATAAAAAAAAAACTTTTCTACTAACGTTTTTTTGTTATTTCCCATTGTCTTTCGTTTCAAGTAGGTTTTGTTATTTTTCAGACTACTAGTTGTTAGTTTAGTAGTATAAAAACACTATCTATCTATATATTAATAGGCAAGCATGTTTCTTTAAAACCTTTTTTCTCAGCTTGTGTGCATCGTGGGGTAAATCTGCGCATACCGTTAGAAAGCAATTTTCCTGTAGGTGTGCAGAATCCCTTTATAAATTTAAATAGGCTCAAAGATAAGCACAAAAAATGAGATTGAAAATTTGAAAAAAATAACATGGATTTTATGCGTTGCCATGCTGGTGACGAAATAACAACGAAATATAAACAGAAAATCAAAACAAATGGAAGAAACTCCAATCACATGTTTTATTTACAGTGTGGGGTGAAAATAGAGAAGTGAGTACATTACATATTTTTGGTCGAGTTTCGACCACTGGACGACCACTAGTATAATAATTAACACCCACTTTTTCAGACACCTGATGCGGTCTATTGTCCACAACTAAAGAAAGTGTGCACCAACGGAAAATAAAATTGTGAAAAATTATGGATACCGTAAAACGGGTTGAATAGGAACAAAACTTCGTACTTGTGTATAACTTTGATATTCTTGTAATTATATGTAATCTTATAACTATTTGAACTACATAATCAACTCCTATACAGTCATCTAGGAAATTGTGTTTAGTTTTGTTGGCATCACTGGATCCGGAATTATTCTCTGCTCAGTTATTTTTTAATTTTTTTTTGTCAATGTGATATTTTACATCAACCCTGAACGTTTCAGGTGAGCGAATATAGAATATGTATACTATATAAATAAGTGAGAAGTCATAAAAATAATACCTTTGATAGTAGTTTAAAGCTAAAGGATTGTTTATTACTATAATTTAAATATAGTGAGTTCTGCAAATTTTCTTATTTTGAAGATTAGGTTTTATGAATTTGTGGGGTGAATAGTAACAACATTGCGGTGTTGTTCACCCCACTAAATGCTTGGTTATATACATACATATACAGTTTCCTGTGTTTACCTGACATAGCTGTGTTTTTCAGGTGTCTGTTAATATGCCGAGGAAATACAAATTTATGGCCGGAGGGGGCTATAAGAGGCGCAACGCGGAAACAATTAGAAATACTGTCTCTGACATAGAAAACAGAATGAGCCTTCATGAAAATGCTGAAAAAACATGGTATTATTTATAGGAAAAAAAGTCCTACCATCAAGAAACCTGGACATGGACAAACAACATCAACCAAAGAAGAGAATAATTATGTTTGTCAAAGGCTGAAAAAAGGAAAAAAATAAAGCAATTCAAAGATAATCTACCTGGTCGGGAATTTGTGGAGTAGTTTTTACAATACAAGGACCATTTGGCTGTGAGAATACACCAGAATTATTAAACTATTAAGAGCGGATGTAAAACCTGAAACAATAAACATCTACTTTGGTGAATTATCTAATGAATTTAAAATGTCCCTCTTTTCAAACTTAGTCAACTTTTGCAACATTTGTACAACTATAAGTAAACATGACCGAGGGGGCTGAAAGGGTTTTAAGGTCTTGTACTTTACTGTTATCAACATATAGGTTCGGAACTAGCTGCTGTGCTGTGCCCTGCAACGAGAGAATATTGTATAGAAACGTTTGTTTGTTTTCATCTGTTGTAACTTACTCTATAATATCCGCTGTTATAGTTTAATGCAGATTTTTGTATTAGGTATGTACAACTCGTAACTGGAAAGTGTCAATTCCTCTAACGCTTAAGTTATCAGTAGATAAACAATATTTTTTTCATTAGGTGTAATGTTTAAGTTTTAAGGCGCACCTACCACCACGTGAGCACGCAATATATAGCTGCCCGTGTGAAAAGCATGCATTTTCTAAATTTAAACCGGCGATAGTCAGGGATTGCCCTTGTGCCTTAAACGGTGATTGTAAAAGCAAGATGCAAGGAAATTGTAGTCACTTGAATTCAAAGGGTAATTTGGATGAAATAATTCTCCTTTAAACTTACCACTGATGATCGTTGCTGCGATCAAGTTTGGTGTATTTTAAATTGTCAGTCTGGTTCCGTTGCATAGCTTGGGTGGATTTGAGTTTCACAATAGTATTATTGGATTTCCTTCTTTTAATGACAGTAATGTGGTGGGTTAATGAAAAATTAGGAGGCATTTGAATACCTGAGATAGCACACACGAATACACGATTATTATTCTCTGAATGACTTATGTTAGATTGTGGGGGTATATAACAAAAGATAAAATATTAAGGCATTGCCTTCCCTTTTATTGTTTGAAATACTTTGATAAATGTTTTTACTCTTTATGTTGACATATTTAATAGTGGAGAATGTAAATTTTGAGTGCACAGGTGTGCTGCGATTGGGCTTAAATATATTTTGACATATCCAAAGTAAAATAGTTTTCTGTGCTGCATTCTGTGGAAACATTGTGGCACATCTGTTTTTAAATTATATTTATTTGTAAACGTAGTTCCAAAATTCTGACATTGGACCTCTTAAAACCCTCTTGGCCGAAGAGCCTTTTGATGGATCTGCATCAAACTTCACAAAACCATCCTTAAACAATGCTTAAATGCCTGAAAGTTTCATTACAATTTATGTCAAAGGAGTCCATAAGGTATATACAATATACATACATACTTTCCTTTTTAGATATAGATATATAGACTGTGTAATTGATTATGGAGTTGAGTATAAGATTCCGCAACCCTTGCTGTACCAACTACTATACACTACAGTACTATATGAAGGCTTGTCCCCGTCCGAATTATCAAAGTGTTAAGTAGTACTGTAGTACACAGACAATAGATCATATAGTACCATAGATAAAACATACTCCCTTAGTAGATTTCTCATCCTTATGGAACAGCTGAAGACAATTTTATTGTTAGTTCATGTACGGTTTATGTAGAGGTCGTGTTTTGTTTACAATTTGTTTCCCGTTATTACAGCCATTTAAAATCTTGTTTAACCAAATAATACGATCTAATCATAAACAATAACTTGTCCCCTGGTTATATAACCAAACAGTAAAGCACAAATCAAGAAATTAACCCTAAAATAATGGAAACAAAGTCTCATCGACACTAGCGCCTTTGTGTCACGTACATGAACTAGACACGAAAAACGTGCTTCAAAATTTACAATGGGATGAGAAGTCTACTTATAGTACTTTCTTATTGCCCAAAGGGTTTATCAAGAGAAATTGAATGGTGAAAACCGAAGGTCGATATCAAACCCCTAATCAAAACGGCAGCCATTTTTATTTTTTAAGATGAGCAAGCAAGATAACGTCTGGACATCTCCAGTTAACTTTTAATATTTTAATACTGTTAAAAGGTGAATTCTCTTTTTTCATAACGGTATCCTGAGTTTAGTTTTCCTGCTATAACCTGTTATAAAGTTAATAGGGGATATTTTAAAATGACTGCCATTTTGATTAGGGGTGTGATATTGACCTCTAGTTTGCGCCATTTAATTTGTCTTGAGAAACCCTTTAAAATGAGGGGTCACATGATAGGTGTTTATATTTTAAAATTTGGGGCTGCCCCAAAAATACCCCATTTTGGGGGCTGGTGCAAAGTTGTAACTTTGATGAAAAAGTGAGATTTCTTGTGTTGTAAATATGTGCAGAGTTTGGTTTTCCTACTCCAACGCGTTAAAAAGTTAACTGGGGGGTTTCAGACTTTTGCCTAACCCTGTATAATACGTGAAGGCGATTTCTACAAAACACTATTCCTCCGTTAATAATGGACGGATTTTTACAAAAGATGTCTCAAAATTAAGTATTTTTTGTGTAGGCGCCCCTTTCACCAATTCCTGCAATAAAAGTCCTCGGTCTTTGCCCCTCAGGCCATCTAAATCCCAGTGTATTTCTTATGAAGAAAAGATTTTGTTTACTTAAGCAGACGAATAATTTGTGTTAATTGCATACTAAAACACAGCTGGTCAAAGTAAACACATAATACAAACAAAAGCGTTCGTTTTCGGTTTCGATAGCTGGAGTGGAGTGATTGATTACATTATCTATGAGTTGTCTCTTTAAGTCATCGGAAAGTATGGCCATACTAATGGCTGTTAGAAGTGTTGCAATGTGGTTGCTATAATGCCTGTAATACATTGAAATTGCTCGAATTCGAGCAACAGGTGCACTAGTTTAATATAAACAGCGATAAATAATAAGTTAACTAAGGGGTATTCCGGACCCCTGGCAGCCCGGCTTAGCCCTCCCCCACATTTTTGGGCCTAGATCCGCCTATGAGTACAACAACAAACTCTGGCTGGAAGTAACTGCTGGTAACACCTCGGTTCATTATAACATTGACTTTACCTTCCTTATCAAACAAAAACACTTAAAGTCACTAGTGCGTATAAAGCCATGGCCACCTTTAACTTTGGGCCGATGAAAGATTGAAAATAAAACATATACAACTGAAAACCAAAACGATATAAACCATTAATAGCTGCCTCCAAACAAAACAGCCGTGGATAAAACCACGGCCGCCTTTAACTCCAGGCGGCCGTGGCCTTCGAAGTGGCAACGTCAAAAGTAGGGTTGTAACAGCTGTTTTGTTTGGAAGCAGCTAGTGGTAATTTGTGTCTTTACGAAAGCTTGGTACTGGACTATCACAATATTGACTTCGCTTAAAATGTACAGATATAGATTTTTAATTCAAACTGTTTAGGTTTTCAACTAGTGGCTTGTAGGGGCAGTAGCCCCTATGTATATATTGTAGTAATTATTTTGTACAAATTATTAGTCCCATGGGTTACCCTACCTTGATTATCGTTTAACATTATTGTATATTATAATATGTATAATAGTTATTACATACCTGCATAATGCACTTTGAGGTCTGCTCTGTTAAAAATAAAAATTACAAAGGATTTTTCATGCGGTGTGTTTATAGTATAAACTTTCTAATCATAATACAACTAAGGATAATTTTCAATGATA